CTTCCCGGCACCGCCGACCGCCGCGGCAGCAGCCGGCTCGCGCGGCGGCCCCCCGGCGAAGCCCACCTCGCCACGGGGGGGAAGGGTCCAGGCAGCGCCAAGGGCTCAGATGTTAAACAACTTGACGCATGACAGCGGAACTTCTTCATCGTTTTCGGTCTTCGGGGGCGCTCCTGGAGCCCCGGGACGGTCAAACAACGACCCGGGATGAGAAACCAATCCGTGGGGCAATAGTCGGGAATTCTGCGGGCCCCGTGTTGCAAAAAATCAAAGCATCGGATGTCGGGGGGGGGGTCGCCACCAGGGGGATCGCCCCGACCCTCCGGACCCCCCACGAGCAAAGCCCTTCCGCACCTCCCCACACGCTCAAACATCATCCAAGATCTCCTCGAGCCTTGGCATCGTCGCTCGGTCCTCGGAAGGAGCTCCTCAGGACCCACCAAAGCAAAGTCCCTCCGCACCTCCCCACACGCCGAAAAGTCGTCCGAGATCTCCTCGGGCCTTGGCATCGCCGCTCGATCCTCGGAGGGAGCTGGCGGACCCCCCCTTCGTGGCGACCGCCCTTGGCATCGCCTGCCCGGTGGAAGCGGGTCCTGGCCCCAGGGGGCCGTCCCTCAGATCCGGGCGTCGTACCATGAAGGCCAGTCCACAAAAAACCTTCCACAAGAAACCCAACCCTGAGACCCAAGGACGTCCATAGATTTTTGGTGTGGCAGCGTCGCGCTTTCCACAGCAAAACCACAGCAACCCAAGAAACCCAGGGCACCCTGGAGGCAAGCAGGGTGTCTCTTGGCAAGGGTCTCCACTGCAACATAAAACGCGACGGCTGTTTTCTGTGTTTGCCCTGGTTACGCGCAAGTAAGACCCTGTGCAAGAGTGGCCTTCGATTTGCGGCTTTGCGGGGCCACGGAGGGAGGAGGGGGGCAAACCTTTACGCGCAGGCAACCTGCAGCCGCATCGCACTCAAAGACCCCCCGCGAAAGGTCACTCGTACGTGTAATCGATTTCGGTACCTGGAGGTCGCTGTCAGGCTGAGGCCGTCAAGAACCGGCTGGAGATGAAAAGCCGCCCCCAGACAAGGAGTCGAGGCCCCGTGGGGATGTCGGAAGGGGGGATTCACCCAGGACCAAATCCCACCAGCCCTTTAGAGCGTATGTGGTTTAGGGTGTTTCCCCCTTCGGGGAGGGGTTTCTCATTGCTCCCTATTAATAAACACCCCCTCCCCCAGGCGACTGGTAACCAACCAGGAACCATTAGGGCCCCCCCACCATCCCTTGCAACAAAAAAAACATACAAACACACACTCTGGCTCCAAAGCCGGAGAATGCGCAGCCAACCCGATGCGGCCTCCCCCCACCATCCCTGCCAACAAAACAATCCAGAGTACACTTGGCGGCGGCGGCGGCGGCGGCGGCGGCGGCGGCTGCGGCGGCTGCGGCGGCGGCGGCGGTGGCGGCGGCGGCGGGGGCGGCGGCGGCGGCGGGCGGCGGTGGCGGCAGCGGCTGCGGCGGCAGCGGCTGCGGCGGCGGCGATTTGGCAGCGGGGGCAGCGGCGGCGGCGGCGGCGGGCGGCGCGCGGCGGCGGCGGCCACGGCGGCGGCGGCCACGGCGGCGCGGCGGCGGCGGCGGCGGGCAGCGGCGGCGGCGGCGGCGGCAGTGGCGGCGGCGGATTGGGCCCCAGTGGCTGCCCATCCAAAGACGACTACTGAATATGCTAAGGCTCGGGCCAGACTCGGGTGGTGCTACGTATGTGCAGGGAGGGCGGGTGGGAGTAAGCCAGACGGCTTGCGGGCGGGGGGAGTCTTGACCCCTCCCCCTACCCCCTCCCCTGGACCTGGACGGTGCGTTTCGCGAGTCGTCGGAGCATCCAAAACGGCCTTGGGGAGGAAGCCAAACTCATTTGTTGTACTAAGGTTTTGGCCCAATGTTGGCCTCCTGGGGGGGGGGCGCTAATTAAGGAACGCCCCTGCCAGAAGGCCCAAAGAGGCCCCCGAGAGGCCCACAGGATGCCCCTTAAGAGGCTCCCGGGAGACCCCCAAGAGGCCCCAATAGGCCCCCCAGAGGCACCCAAGACGCTCCAAGAGGCCTCGACGACAATGCCAACATCATTGAGTTGACTTAGCTTGTGGCTACAGTTTGGCCTCCTGGGGGGGCACTGCTGAAGATGGCCCCAGGAGCGCCTGGGAAAACCCAGGATGGCCTCCGAGATGGCTCAAGCTACCCCAAGATCCTTCAAGATGGCTCCCTTCAAGATGGCCCCCACGATGCTCCAAGAGGCCCCAAGACCGCTCCAAGACGGCTCCAAGTGGCCAGAGAGCTCCCCCAGGAGGCCCCGAGGAGGCCAACACCCTTCCAAAACCTTAGCGGAATCCGTGCTTTTGGCTTGCTCGCCTTTTCGCTTCCGATGGCCATCCGACGCCTCAAGATGGCTCCAAGATGGCCCAAGAGTGCTCCAAGAGCGCTCCCAAGGCTCCAAAGAGCGTCCCAAGAAGGCCCCAAGGGGCGCCCAGACGGCCCCAAAAGACCCCAACAGGCGCCAAAGAGGCCTCTGAGAGGCTCCGCAGAGACCCCCAAGAGGCCCCAAGAAGCTCTCCGAGGCACCCACGACGCTCAAAGAGGCGCCCAGGACCGCCAAGAGGCCACGAAAACGCTCCAAGAGGCCTCCACTGGGGGACCCTTCCTCTGTGTGCTGCCCACTTCCCTGATCTAAGCAATTCCTCTGGGCATCGTTTCTGGATGGGCTGGTGGGGTTACTTTTTTTCTTTTTTCGCAAGCGCGCAAGAGAAAGCCAGGCGCCTCAAGAAGCGCGGCTAACGAGCAATGGACTAAATTCCGCACGAGCGCGCACAGGAGCGAGCTACGCTGCGGCACAAGCGGGGGACCTAGCGGAGTCACAGGTCGACGTGCAGACTGGGCTGGCGGGGTTACGCAAAGCGTCTAGAATTTTCACCTTGAGCCGATGTCTAACTGTGCTGGAGCCAAGAGGGGCCGTGGGGAGCACGAAAGCAATGCAACAGTTTGCAGGATATAATTTCCCTATGACCGCTGTCCTGTCATGTTCGAGAGCAAAACATATTATCCCAAGGTGTTGTCCGGGCTGCTTTTTCTGGCCAGAACGCGGCAAAGGGCCTCCTGGAGGCCCCCAAATAGAGCAACATATCCATAAACCAATCTAAAAAAACGTGGGCTCAGACGTCCGATGTCGTGTTTGTTTCACAGCGTGGCTCCCAGAGGGCTGGGCCCCTTCAGAGACCAGCGTCTCATCCTGGGTTGTGTACGGCCCCGGGGTCTGGCAAGGGTGGGGCGAAAACTGAGGAACAACATCAACATGTGCTTCACGATGCGAGGAGGTCTCCGCGGCAGGTCCCAACTATGCCCCAGAGGTCGTTTATCGTCCTGTATCGAATTATAGCCCCCAAAGGCCGGAATCGAGCGCAAGAGCGCCGAGAGCCCTGATTTCGGCCGCGAGCGAGGGGGGAAGTGAGAAGAAGGCCTTGTCAGAAGGCGGCGGGACTTCTCAGAAGCCCTCGAGCCTTCCGAGAAGTGCTCTGCGTCTTCGGGGAAGGCTCAAAACAAATCGCAGAAGGCCCGGGGACTTCGGAGACTTCTGAGAAGGCCTTCTCCTTCTGACTCTCCCCCCCCCTGGCTCGCCTGCAGAGGGCTGGAAAGTCGTACCACCAGAGCTCTGGGCGGATTCTATATCGAGACGTGGCCCTGCAGACTTCTCGACCACTCCCCTGGGGGCCGGCCATCCGCCCCGGGAGAACCAGCCGTCTCAATGCCTTCTCGAGCCGCCAGATGCCTGGGGCGGGCTTGGTTCCCAGACCTCCGACGTCGTGATTTCCTCCTTGCAGTGGAGGCCTGGACCCCTGCCCAGGGAACTGGCTTTTCGTCCTGAGCGGTTTCTTGCCGGCCCCGAGGACCAGTGCGGCCCCAAGGGGCTGAGAATGTGAAGAAACCTGTCGCGCCATGATGTTTTCCACGGCGCGTCCAGGTTGCCAATAGTTCGAGGCTGTGGTTGCTTTGGGCTCTTCTGCGCCCTCGAGGTGGAACCACCGTGTCCGGCCAGCCGCGGCGCGCGGCCAACTGGTCGGGCGGTTGAACGACCATCTCGCCGTCGCGGCCGGGCGCGTCCAGCGCGCAGCAGCCCTGGAGGGCACGAAGCAGCCCACCGAAGGCGAACCTCTCGGGCGGCGCCGTCGTCGTCGCCCACATCGTGATCGTCGATGCCTGCCGTCGCCATCGCCGCCGTCGCCAGCCGGCGGGTGGGCAAGCGCCTGTACTGGGAGTCCGCGCGGACCTCCAGATGCTGAGGTTCATGCAGCTGGTGTTATTTCTTCCTCTCCTCCCAGGACGAGGAAGAAGGAGAAAGAGGAGGATGAGGATGAGGAGGAGGAGGGCGAAGAGGAGGAGGAGGATGAGGAGGATGAGGAGGAAGGAGGCGGAGGAGGAGGAGGAGTGGTGAGCGGGGATGCGTTTGAGCTAGGCGCGCTCGCGTCATACCTGGCGTCCTACCCCTCCCTCTCATTCCACATCATGGCGTAGATATACTCTCTATTCGCAGAGTCGGATGTCGAGCAGGGCAATGATCGCGAGAGGGTGCGCGATGCATGGTAGAGCACGGCATAGCATGGCGTAGAAGAGCACGGCAGAGCGTAGCATGCCATTGCGTGGCGTGGCATTGCGCAGTGAAGCATTGTATCACAAAGTATTGCGTCGCAAAGCATGGCATCGCACAGCGGCGCAAAAACACAACACCGCACATCATGCCATGGCATGGCGCCAAGTTCCTTGGAAGTAAGTGGATCGTCTTCGAGAGGCCTGGGCCGGTCTGGAGTCGTGGCTCCGAGTCTAGCTCCTTGGGTTTTCCGAGAAGCTCCACACAAGGCGGGGCTGATGGAGAGCACCCGCTGGCTCTGATTTCAACATCGCCTTCTCGAAGCAGACATGGGGCTCCCGCTTGATACTCCCTGGAAGCGAAAACTTTTTTCTTTGAATATATATATATATATATATGTGTGTATATAATTCTTTATAATAGAACCAACATATGATGGACAAAAAAGCTTCTGCGGCCAAGAAAATCAACGAATCGACGCCGACTGTGTAGTCGCTTCCCATGGTTATTTCGTGGGGGGGTACTTTCAAAATGTTGGGGACTATTTGGAAGGAGCGAAACGCCCGCGCTGCAGCGGGAACACGATTTGGAACAACCAGAGGCGCAGAAATGGGGCAAACACTTCATCGGGAACAACATTGTTAAAAACAAGCGAAAACCCATTTCCAAGGAATCCTTTGTAAAAAAAAAAACCATACGGGGAGGGGGGCCCGACAGCTTCCGGACGTCATCAGGGGAGAGAAGAGAGTAGTATTCATATTGTGTAGTGGTAGAGACTGTGGAGGATTTGGAGGGGGAGCGCAGAGGAAGAGGGAGGGTGGGATCTGCGAGGCCGATTGGCAATAAGAAATACCCCTCGGGAGATCCAGGAACCAGCCGCCGCCCTTGGCCGCAGTCATGGCGGCTCCTGCTGGAGGCGGCCTCCCCGACGGCGACGCTGGAAACAAAACCGTTCACTATCCTTGCCAAACCGCCGACGTCGTGATGTCTTCAGAACGTGGACCCAAAAGTCTGGACACCTTCCCAGGGACCGGCTTCTCGCCCAGAGCAGTTTTTTGACTGTCCCGAGGCTCGGTGAGGGAGCCCTGAGGTGGAACATTGCCCCAAGCCTTCCGACGTGATCCTTCACGACGCGAAAAGGGTCTGGGTTGAAAGTTTCGGGCCCCTTCTTAGCAGCGGGGGTAAAGCAGTGGGGGCTTGCCTGGTGTCCGCCGTGTCAGTTTTGCCGCAGCAGGCGGCGCGGAAGGAAAGAGAGCATACGCGGTCTGCGACCTTCCTGAAGGTCAGTCGGAGAGGTCAGATGGAGGAGAGGGTAATCGAAAGACGGAGGAGGGGGGCGGAGGGAGGGGGAGGGAGGGAGAACGATGCGGGCGAGCAGGAGGAGGGACGCGGCGCGGCGCGGAGAGGGCGGAGGCGCAGCGGCGGAGGAGGCGGCGGAGGAGGGGCGGCCCGAGGCGGAGGCGGATGGCGGCGATGAGAGCAGGTGTCCCTTGCGACGGCCGGACCTGGCCCACTCTGGCTCCATCGCGCGCGCACGGCGCTCCTGTAGGGGGACGCAGAAAGTACCGGTAATCACTGCTACTCCCTGGACCTCTCCCGGGGAGCGTCCGGACCAGAACCTCGAGGAGCATCCAGCCGCCGTCGCGACGAGAGCTCTCCAACATCAGAAGCAGTTGGTGCCCGTTTCCTCCTCTGAGCTGCAGGGGAGCCCTGAGATCTGACGACGCGAAACACATGTTAGAAATTACGACGACGGCCCCGGACCCCATCGTTTTGCTGCGCTTGCCAAGCCAGATCGATCTGTGACGGTCCCAACGCCCGAAACTGGGCGAAAACGCCCAGTGTGACAAAGCTGCACCGTCGGTCGGAGACGCACTGGCCCAGGTCAGCCCAAAACCCGGGTTGGCCAGGGCCCTGTCGTGAAGCCCAGCTGGCCGTACCAGCTCCCGGTTCCAGGTCAGCGCACGGCGGAAACGGGGAATCGGCTCCACGTGGTTCCCCAAACCAGGTTCAGCCAGAAAGGGGTTGGCTGACCCCCGTCAGCGCTGACCCCCGTCACGTGCGCCCCGAACCTTTTCCTCCTCCCCTGAATACCTGGCGTCGTAAGTTCACGTCGGGCTTTTCGCTATGCTTTTTGAGCCTCGGGGCTCACACACATCGATCCTGCTCACAAACTGGCGCAGACAGATGGGGCCCAGGGCTCTGACAGTATTTTTTTTGCGATGTCGCTCGTCTGTTGCAACGTCAGAACTGACGGATTTCCTCCTCGGAGCTCCGGGGGAGAGGCTGGGTTCGGGCGTCCGATCGCGCGGCAAGATGCCCGAGCATCGTTCAACCGATCCCAATCCCCACTGGCGTGGCCTGGGCCCAGCTGAGCCCCAGTGGCCAACTTACCCTCCTGGATGAGGGTCTGGGCTGCTCCCTTCGGGTTTCGAGGTGCCTATCCCCATCTGGGGTGGTGGGATGATGGGGCTGCGGTGCCATGGGTGGGGATACGGCTGGATCTAAACCAGAATACCATCCTTCAAGAACATGAAACCCTCCGCCGGCCAAAACACCCCAACCCATAAGATCACTCGAGGGCTGCACCCCCCCAAGATGCATAAGAACATGCGACGGACACGAAGAGCACTAGGGCACCCTCCCCGAACCAACCTCGATCTGATACCTCGGACGGACCGTACCATGGGTGGGGATCTGTTAAACAATGCTGAAGGCCAGCGCCGCGGCCGCAGTTGCGCGAACGCGGCCAAGCGCAGCCGCGCACCGCAGGCCTCGGAGTGCCGTGGCGCCAGGCAGCGGCCCCGACGGGCCGAGCGGCCGATCCGCGGCCGGGCCCCGATCCTCGTGCGGCACAGCCTCTCCGGGCGCCGCGGGGAGAGACCCAGATGTGCTCGCGTCGCACAGTCAACCCGTATGACAGAAGGGTGCGCGGTACGGATGTAATGGCCTTGGGAGGCCATGCCGACACTTTGCGAGCGGGGCGCGGCCAGCGAAGGCGGCCAAGGATGGGCCGAGGGGGAGGGAGGGTGCAAGCGCAACCTTGGAAAGTTGCTACGTGGGTTGACTGCGCATGTTCGGACGTTCTGTTCGCCACGTCCGGCCTCCGGGGGAGGGCATCCGTGCTTGCGAAGCCTCCGTCGAGGTCTTGCAGTTGGGAGGGGTCAGACACCCCTGGGGACATGAAGGCAACGAACAAATCAGGGAAACGTCTCCTCAATTACCTGGATCCCCCTCCCTCCAGGAGGTTACCAGCGACATTGGTGAGGCCCTCACAACATCTACCCCTGGGCGGTCCCAGCCGTAGCCAGGAGAGCGCCCCCGGAGTCCAAGAAAGACATGAGAATGACCTGAAACCTCGGGGAACGCATGCACGGTTTCCCCCGGGGCGGGCCATAGACGACCCAAGGGAGGAGAAGGAGGAGGGGAAGGAGGAGGAGGAGTAGGAGGAGGAGGAGGAGGAGGAGGAGGAGGAGGAGGAGGAGGAGGAGGAGGGGTCGCCTAAGCCCTTTGGTGGAACCCTTCAGGGACGCCAACTGATCCTCTCGCCCATCCTGGCCAGGACCTGCCCCACCTGCAGCCCAGTGTCGGCGTGTGCGCCCCCGCCGCGCCCTCCTGACTTGGCCAGGGGGGCGCATGCAGCACACGCCGATCGTGGGCCCAAGATCGCCGCGGTCAGGATCGGTGAGGCGTAGGACGAAGCCAGGACGAGGATAACATCGGGTGAGGATTCATCGAGAACCTCCAAGATCCGGCGGCTCTGCAGGATGTATCGGGCGCCGCGGCCTTCTCAGAGCGTTCTGGAATGGACTTGTCCTCAGCCCAGACCCGTCCGAAGGGGGTCAGTTGACGACCCCCGAGAGCCGCGATCCCAGACACCCGACGTCGTGATCTTGTCATGACGTGGACCCCCAAAGTCTGGGCTCCTTCCCGTGGACCGGCTCTTCATCCCGGGTCGTTCTTCAATGGCCCCGAGGTCTGGTAAACGTCCCCAGAATGGCGAGGACGGTGAAGAAACGCCTTCCGTCGTCTATCTTTGCACGACGCAAAAGGGTCTGGAAGAGGAGCAAACACTTACATGAACACAATGCCTCGGAGGTCCGCGCGGATTTCTTCGATCGGCGCTGGGCTCCCCTCCATATCGCGCGGAGCTCGCAAGGGGCAGCGCCAGAGGCGCCGCCATGAGGGCCCAGCGCCGATCCAAGAAACCCACGCGGAGCCCACAGAAATTACGTTTATGCAATGTTTGTTGTTCGTCGATCTGGGGAAACCTAAAGGTACCAATACCGCTGCTCCGCGGACCTCTCCTGGGGTGCGTTCTGACCCACATTTCAAAGCGAATCCAACGGTGGCGACGGGGGGCGGAAGAGGGGAACATGGGCGAAGGGTAGCGGTATGGGCTCCTTTTCCTCCTCCGAGCTTTGTTGTTCGCCGATCTGGGTCCATTGATGCCCCCCGAAAGCCGCGATCTCCGATCCCCTCCGAGGAGGCCGCCCGCGACCGCCGCCCAGGGCCCTCAGCCGCCACCGCGGGCCCGGCGGGCGGGCATCCCGAGAGGGGCGCGGGCGCCCCGCGGGCCGCGGCGGGGCGGCGGCGGGCCCGGGCGCGGCCAAGCGGGGGGGCGTCCCTGGAAGAGGGGGGGTTCGCAAATCAGCGCCCGAGGTGCGTGCGCGGACGGGGGGGGGAAAGACCCGGCGGCGCATTGGAACAAGAAGAGGCGCCATGAGATCTGGAGAGAGACCATGGCCTTGGCCCTGGCTTCCCCCCCCCGTCATCATCCCCCAGGGGTGGGGGGACCAGGGCGCGTCTTGAGAGAAGACGAGGCGCCATGAACTCTGGGGCGATGTCATGGCCCTGGCCACGATCTCCCCCCCCCGCTCGCCATCATCCCCCCTCTTGGCCGCCCCCGACGGGCGGGCCGCGTGGGCGGCTCCGACCGCGGCGCCCCTCGAACAGAGCAGCCACAAAAATCACGACGGGAGGCTTGGGGCAAGTTTCGGCCTCCGGAAGCCCTCGCCTGCTCTTGGAAACGTTAAAAAAGGGCTCAGAGCATACATCAACCTTCGGAGGCCCGCCCGGCTTCCCTGGATCGGCGCTGGACCCCCATCCTGGCGGTGCCTCTGGCCAGAGCTGTTGGCGTCTGGACACGGGAGAGAATATAATCATGATACGCTGCCTAAGATTCAGCATTTGCCTGTCGGCGCGGATTTCTTGAGTCTGCGCGCGGAACTCCGAAAGTTTGTGTCTGTGCCGTTGGTTGCCTCTTCGATTGAACGCGGACGGCGAGAGGAGGCGCGGCGTTCCCGACTCGGACTTCCGACGTACCGATTGTTCGTCGATCCGCCAGCCTGGACCCCATCGCACCTGTCCGTCCCGCATCCAGTTTTGCTGATCAATGGGGCCCCAAACATGCCCCCCGGATAATGGAAACAGAACGCAGAATCTGGCAGGGGCCTGAGCTTTGGGCGTCGCTATACATACATGTATACGCACACACATATATATATATATTTATATATATATATATGTATGTATGTATGTATATATATACACATATATCGGAGGTTGGGGGGGTGAAAGCGAAAATGGCCCCAACCGGGAAATCGGTTTCGGTTTCGGTTCGTGTCGCGCGTGCGGCCGAATCGAAGCTGCGCGAGCCCCCTCCTTAGTAGAGGCCATCTATCGCCAAATAGGCCGCCCAATGCGCCGGGCGTCTCCCGGTTGTCCCGGCGGTTGTCCCGGTGATTGTGGTTGTCCCGATGATTGTTCCGATAGTTGCACCGATGGTTGTCCCAATGGTTGTCCCGATGGTTGTCCCGATGGTTGTCCCGATGGTTGTCCCGATAATTGCCCCGATGGTTTTCCCGATGGCTGTCCTGGTGGTTATCCTCATGGTTGTCCCGATGGTTGTCCCGATGGCTGTCTGGATGGTTGTCATGATGGTTGTCGTGATGACTCATATGTACATAGATAGGTAGATAGATAAGTTGATTGATAAATGAATAGAGTCATCGAATCATACATTGGTAGATTGAAAGATTCATAGGTGGGAAAAATCCATATATATATATATAGATTGGTAGACATACAGATATGACAATTATGTGTATATATCGACCTACTGACTTATTGATACGCACGTATGCGTATATATAAATAGATCAATAGTTCGATTGATCGATATATATATATATGTACATATTACAAATGAAATATACGGTTCGATCGATTCGTGGACCTCAATGTTGATACCTTGATAGCTTCATGCGTAGCTCTGTTGTTCGATCAATAAATGTATCGATTGGTGGGTCGAGAGCTAGATATCTGGATAGTAGGATATATTGATCGGTATATCGGTACATAGATAACCATCACGAAACCGCCTCCACCACCACCACCGCAGCCATTACCACCGCCACGCCATCACCATCACTACCATCATTCTAAAGGCATTTGCACTCAAGCCGTTTCGCCTTGGTGTGGGCTGCCAACACTCGAACCGCAACAGCATGTCAGCTCCGGCTACTCAGAGGGAGGCCGGGGCCAGGCTCTGCCAGCCCTGCGCCCTACGGCGGCTCACGAACACTCGAGCAGCGCTGTGCGTACGCCGCGACCTCCCGCGCTGGGTTCGCAGAGCTGAATCCTTCCTTCGTGATGACGGGCATCCAGCTGCGTGAAGCTCTCGCGAAAGTCCCTGGCGAAACATAACGCCGAAGTGCGCGCAGGGGATGCTCTGCCAGGCACTACATGCAAGAAAACGTATTGGTCTACTCATCCTTGGGCGGGTCAGGCTCTGCCAACCGGCCCATGGAGTTTGAGGTTACTCGGAACCAGCACTCGCGGGACCCGAATGTTTCGATAGCAGTTTCGTGCCTCCTAGTGGGTTCTGATGGGGCCGCGCGGGTTGCCCCTTCGCTCGAACGCCAGAGGCTGCGAGATTCATGGCAGCAGGGTTTGATGGGCCGCGCCTCGGCCCGAGAAAAGTTAGATCGCCACTTTGTGCTCACGACTTGACCATCCATCTTCTATCATACTTCACATGCGCGTTGCGTAAAGCATTGTTGTGTTTCCCATTGCACGCAGCGTTGCGCTGCACGCGGCGTTGCATTGCAGGCGCGCGTTGCACGCGGCCTTTCGCGCAGCAGCAACGCAGGGCTCCTACGGGGTTTCCAGAGAGTAGGTTTGATGAGGTCACCCCCCAGTGCCCGAGGGATGTTTCTTTTGTACCCCTTGGCACTGGCACTCTTGAAGATCGCCTCGCAAGTCCTCGGGGTGATTCTCCGCATTCTCGCTCTCGCCCTCATAAGCCTCGCACCTCTCGGGCCCCTCCTCGTCGCAAAGCTTGACGGCCTCCATGGATCGCGGAGACGGCATGTCGAGGTCTTTGGCACGTCGGGGGCGCGCAAACACGGATTTGCGATCCATGGATTTGGCGCGCGGTCGCCAAATCCATGGATCGGGGGAGATCCCCTCGCCAAAATGCGGCCGGTGCCGCCGTGCTCGGCGGCGGAAATCCGCGATTTCCCATGGAAACGGGACCCGTCGCTAATCCACGCCTCTTTGATCCATGTTTGCGATCGCCTGAGCTTGGGGGCCCACAGCTCTCGTGGCTGTGGCCGGGTCCTCCCCCAGTCGGGTCTGCTCGCCAATTTGGGCCCACGCCCTGGGGAGCGCCATGGACCCCCCCCTCCTCTAAGATGCCCAGGACTGCCTGTGCTGCCAGGGCAGAGACGCCTGGAGCCTGTGCGGTGCCATTTGGGGCGTCATCGGGGTAGCTCTTGGCGTAGATGCTGTCGATGCGGTCAAGGCTTCCCTTCTCGTAATCGTCGGCCCTCTTCAGGTCCTACATGGGCTCGTCGGCTGGCAGGGCTGCCAGCAGGACCGGCGGCAGCGGGAAGAGGCCCTGGGACTGTGGGTACACGACCATACCTGCAGGTGACGTCGGGCGTGGACGAGGCGATGCTGCGGTCTGGCGCCCGCTGGACCTCGACCGCGATGTACTTGGAGCCGACGACGTTGTTGGCGGGCAAGCTGGGATGAAGGCCGCGGCGTCCTTACGCAAGGCTGTCTGAAGGTGAAAATGGCGGTGCCAGGACACTGCCTCGAGGTGTGTCATCTGGGCTGTCGGTCCCGTCTTTCTAGCCACCGGCCCAATCGTCGCACATCAGGCACCCTTAAACGGGCCCGGTGATAAATCAGGACGTTAGCGCGCCCGAGAAAATTGAAGCCGTGTGTCGAACTGTTCTCCACTCTTCGTTCCCCCCAGGTGGGATGTTCAGAGTCCTGGTTTGCAACTTCGTGGTTTAGAAGGCCCTGGGCACAGCTCCGCCTGTCGGCGCCAGTTGCAGGTCTTCACCGTCCACAGCTCAGGGGGGCGTAAAGGTGGGGTTGGGAGGAACATCGCTCTAAACGGCTCCTGGAAGAAGGGAACCTGTGAGCATCCAGCTGGGTTCTCTCCCCAATCCCAATTCGGGATGACCCCCCCTTCTACGAGCCCCCCGAACCACGCGGCCCCGATGAACGCCACGGCGAGCCGGGCCGTGTCGGCGGTGTTGGCGGGGAGGCTCTTCCTGGCAGCGCGCGCCAGCCGCGGCGCTGCAGCGCGCAGCGGTCCCCCGCCCTGGTGCACGCGCATCTGGGCGGCCCTGTGGCTCCTGGTGCCGCTGGCCGCGGGCACCTCGCTCCTGGAGCCGTGCGCGGCCGCCGCCGCGCGTCCCGAGCCTCCCCGCGGGCGGACCTCTCCTCGACCCCTCCTCCTCTTCGAACTCCCCCTCCTCCTCCTCCTCCTCCTCCTTCTTCTGGTTCCCCATTGCGTCTTTCTCATCGGCCTCCTCCTCCTCCTCCTCCTCCTCCTCCTCCTCCTCCTGCTCATCATCATCATCATCATCATCATCATCCTCATCCTCCTCCCGGTCGTTTCTCCCCCCCCCCCCCCTCAGCCCCCGCCAAAGGGAGGGCGACCTCCGCGGCCGCAGAGAACCACGGGGCGGGAGCTGGCGTGCGAGGCGTGGGCATCCGAGAGACACTCGCCCACGAAGGCGAAGTCCTCGCCGACGGGGGGGGGCCTGCTCTCCTCCTCCTCCTCCTCCTTCTCCTCCTCCACCTCCTCCTTCTCCTCCTCTTCCTCCTCCTCTTCCTCCTCCTCCTCCTCCTCCTCTTGCTCATCCTCCTCACCCTTTTCCCTCCTCCCTCCCTCATCCTCCCTCCTTATCCTGGTCTGCCTCCTCCTTCCTCCTCGCCCTCTCTATTTCATTATGCTGCTTCCCTACCTTCCCGTCCTTCTACAACCATTTTCCTTTATACCTAACTCCCCCCCTGCCGCACCCCGAGGCCAGTCGGAAGGGCGGCCCGGGCGCTTCGCATGAGACTTCCAAGCCAAGTCTGATCCTGATGCTCTGGGATTGACAACAGTTTCAAAGATGGAGGGCGGGCCGCTTCCAAAATGTGGCTCTCGCTTTAGCGTCGCGCGCACTCGTCTCAGAATTTACCAAAGACGGTTCCTTTTCAACATGTGGCTCTCGCCTCAGCGCCGCGCACAATCGTCTTAACAAGTTGCAAGAGTTTCACAGCTTCTCATCGTTAACCTACCAGACGTAATGATTTGGATCGATTCAGGGTTGCTAGTGCGCAACAGGTACGTTGCTTCGCGGTGCTGAAGTCCCAGGAACGGTGATCGTTGACGATCCAGATTGATTCGTGGCGCTGAAATTCCGAGGATTGCGTGTTGGCACGCTTCAGGATCTTCAGACGGTTGTACCCCAACACGGCACGCCCCTCAGTGGAAATGAACGCTTGTAGGGGCATATGCAGGAGCTTGGGAGGGAAGCTTGATTCCAACATCGTTGACGAGACTTTCGTTTACACTGGTCCTCCTCCTCCTCCTCCTCCTCCTCCTTTTCTCCCCTCCACCTCCCCCTTCTCCTCCGAGAGGGGCCCCTGCTTGGGCGGCTGCGGCGCTAGGGAGGGCAGGCCCGAGCTGGACATCGAGTCGCGGAGCTGGATCTGATCCGAAACAGATCGGACCGCAGCCGAGTCGGCGCGGAGCTGAACCGGAACAGGGCCGTCTGGCATGGCAGGTGGGGCCATGCCCCTGCGCGAGGCCGCTGCCAATGCAACACAGCTGCGTCGCCTCAGCGCGAGGCCCCCGCCGGCACGCGCGTGCTTGGCGGCGCGCACAAAGGGGGTATGGGGAAAAGGGGAAGGATTTTAGAAGCAGCCCCGCTTCTTAGAAAGGGCGGGCCTCACATATGTAGACAAGGCCCGCACCTTCTCAGAAGCAGGGGTGCTTCGAAGAAGCCCTCCAACCGCCCCCTGCTCCCCTCTGCGCGCCACCAGCGTGCCCAGTCGCGCAGCGAGGCCACCTCCCCGATCGGGGAGCGAGAACCCCGCTGCTGCACTGACCCGCTGCCGCACAGCGAGGCGCCACCCCTGGTCGCGGAGCCAAGCTCCCCGCGACCAGTCGCGGAGCGAAACTCCCGCGGACGCGACGCACGACCTTGGAAGGGGGCGCGCCGCTGGGCCCTCGGCCCAGGCCGTCCTGGCCAGCGGGCCCTCGCAGGAAAGCTCAAGGCAATACCTCGTCCTCCCTCCACCCCGACCCCTCCTCCTCCTCTTCCTCCTCTTCCTCCTCTTCCTCCTCTTCCTCCTCCTCCTCCTCCACCTCCACCTCCTCCTCCTCGCGTGCTGGTATCCCAGAGGTGGCAGACTCGCAGAATGCTTGCCCACCTCCCCGAAGTCGATGCAAATGCTAAGTTATGGCTTCGCTGTCCGCGCAATGCTGTCCTCCGAATTCGTTCACGCGAGGCGAGGGGCTCTTCGTTGTCTGATCGGTGAGGCCATGTGGCCGCCCACTCGCAAGTTTGGGTGCAGGCTACGCCGACAATGATAGGTGCCAGTTCTGCTCGCAAAATGCCATTGGGGCCCTTGGCCACCAGATATATGATTGTGAAGCTGTCTTGGATCAGTTCAGGTCTCAGGACCATGTTCCCGCGCAGGTCGGAACTTGGGACTCTCGTGAGGTCCTGTATGGGCTCCTGCTTGTTCCGTGCCATGTTAACGCGGTTCCCGACGTGCTCCCTGTGTACACCTGGGGGGCGAGCGATGCGCGCTGAGAGCGGACCATCTATGTTGACGGCTCGGGACTGGCTGGTTCTAGTCCCGAGCTGTGCAGGTGTGGATGGGCTGCGGTGCTGTTTACGGCGCTCTCCCTGGCAGGTACCAGTCGGTGCCTCGGGCCGAGGGGTCTGCGATCTACCAGGCGCTTCGGGTTGGCCCCCTGGATGCTCGGATTGTTTTCGGACCGCCTCTCTGTCGTCAAGGAGGATGAATCTTGGGATTTTCAATTGGCCCAGAGCGGGGCCAAGCATGCTTGTGTATGGCGGAGGGTATTCTCGCTGTATGGTGACTTTGCCGTCCGCCCTAGCTTCAAATGGACCTCTTCCCACTGCAAATGGGACGACGTTCTGAACCTAGAGGCCTCGGAGATAACTGAGTGCCTCGGCAATCGTTGGGCTGATTTTTTCGCTCGCCTGGGGTCCGCGTCCCACGCTGTCGCGAGCACTCTCTCTAAGTATCAGGCTGCCTGCGTGAAGTCCACGCGTCTCACGTTCGACTTCCTGGCCAGGATCTCTCAGTCGATCGCTGCGTTGGCTCAGCAGTCACTGTTGAGGCCCAGTAAAGCGACCGGCGTGCTGACCCCCCCCCCCTTCGCGACAGGAGGTGCGTCGCGCATTCGTCGCCCGTGCGCCGCCCGTGCGTCGGCCGCCGAAATGGCCAGCCGTCCGCTCGAACGTGCACGTCGCGCTCGCAAGGGGGCAATTTGCTCAGTGCGTCGCCAGCGCGGCGGACACCCGCGGGGCGGATCGCACGCGCGTCGCCCTCTCCACGGCCGCTGAAAAGGCTGGTCGCCTTCTGGAAACAGAAAGTCGCCCACGCTGCGGCCCTCTTGGCGAGAAGAAGGCGGCCGCTGGGCGACCTCGGCAGATCAGCAAATCCCCTAACATTACACATGCAGCGACGCTGCTGAACGCAGCCCGGCGATGGGCCAGCAGGTCCCCGCAGCCGCCGCCACAACCGCCGCAACCGCCGCCAGCACAAAACTACCGCCGCCACGATCACCACAAACGGATGCGACCGCAACCACATCCACCGCGACGATAACGACCAACACCAATTACCGCCATCACCACCACCACGACCACCACGCTTCTCGCGACCGCCACAACGACCGACACCAGCACGATCACCGACGTGACCACCACCAGCCCGCCCACCACCGGCGGCACGACCGCCGCCGACGCGACCAAGGCGACGAACGCGACCACGACCATGATCACCAACATGACCATTACAGAAGCACCCGCCCACTCCGTCCTCCCCCCCCTCCCCCCCATTCCCCTGCTGGGCCGCCCTTGCCGCCGCGCCCGCCTCGCGCCCCTGCCCCTCCCCCCTCCTTTTCTCCTCGTAATCTTCCTCTTCCACCGCCGGCGGCGGGGCCGTTAGCGGAGGGCGGGGGCGCCGCTCGCGGCGACGCGCCGCGGCCGTGGAAACGGGGCCGAAGGAGAACAGGAAATGAAGAGGGGCACGGGGTGGCAAGGGGAAAAAAACAAAGACGAGAGAACAGGGGGGAGGGACAGACAGAGGGTGGCCGGCATAATGGAGGAGGAGAAGGGGAGGAGAGAGGGAGACGAGGCAGGAGAGAGGACGAAGGAGGAGGAATGACAGAAGAGGAGGGACGACGACGAAGAAAAAGGGAACTAACAGGGGCAAGCACCGCCCTTCCTGGCGCAATGGAGGACGCAGCCGCCGCCACTTGTGAACAGCGCAAGCACGGCGGGCCGACGGCCGTTGCGCATTGCTGCTCGGAGACGTGCTAGGGGCGGGCAAAGTCGCGCATGCGTCGCGCATGCGTCGCGCGTGCGTCGCGCGTGCGTCGCGCGTGCGTCGCGCGTGCGTCGCGCGTGCGTCGCGCGTGCGTCGCGCGTGCGTCGCGCGCGTGGCGCGCGCGTCGCGCGTGCGTCGCGCGGGTCGATCGTGCGTCGCGCGCTGGCAGGGGTGCGTCGCGCGCGGGTCGGGGTGCGTCGCGCGCGCGTCGCGCGCGCGTCGCGCGTGCGTCGCGCGGGCGTCGCTCGGGTCGTTCGCGCGTCGCGCGCAGGTCGCGCGCGAATCGCTCGAAGGGCGCCGCGGGCTCCTGACGGCATGTGAACTGCACGGCCCGCTGGCGAAACAATCAAGGGATGCGCGCGGCAATCGTAGAAATAGCGAGACACACACGTGAGAACAACGAACGCGAGGAGACCAATAGACGACATGGAGATGCAGCGCGCGCGGACTAATCCATTTCAAGCGCACGCCCCGTCAGATTTTGAACATCGGTCCGTCGCTGCAGCAATTTGGCGACGTCTCGCCCGCCGATGCATTGGGGGGGGGAAAGAGGGCGGAAGTGAAGCGAGGGAAGGGCAGGCGGAAATGGGAACGGACGGGCGAGGAGGGGGCGCGCGGGGGCGGCGCAGCGGCGGCGGGAGCGATGGAAGGCGATCGAAGGGGGGTGGCGGGAGCGAGGAGGGTAAGAAGAAGTTCCAGGAGAGTGGAAGGACAACGGGGGGTGAGTAGGGAGGCGGACAGGACGGCAGCCTGACACAAAAGAACTGAATACAAATTTCGCAAACGGGACAAAACGCGCAGCGCGTTGGACGAGGGGAAAAGAAAGGAAGAGGGGGAGGGCAGGAGGATTGGCGCGAAACGACATGGGGGTGCGGGGCGCAATGCGACGGGGCGAAAAGGCGCCGCGTCGCGCGACGTGACGTCGCCCCCACCGTGGCGCGACGCGCACAGCCCCCAATCAACGCGAGGCGTCTTCGTCCTCAGCAACGGTTGGCGCCCCCGACAATGAGCACCAGCAAATCCTCTTGCGCCGAATTGGGAACAGAACGCGTTGGTGGACCGTCGAACTAGGAGCGCGCCGCGACCGCCCAAATGGCTGCTGGTGCACCGGCGTCGGAAACCTATACATCGCCAGAGAAATTCCGAAGTCGCGCCATATGTCGCCCACGCACCCTGGGAGGCCGGGATTTGGGACAGAGACGCAAACCAGGGCCGGCGCACGGGCGACGCTCGGGCGACGCACTGAACGAAACTTACAGGGGGGGGGGGGGTCGCTTCACTGGGCCTTGGCCCGTTGCGGGCGTTGTTTCCAGGAAGGTCACCAGGGACCCGCTGGCCTTGACACAACACACTCTGTTTCACTTTCCTAGCCGAGGTGAGTAGCGTAGCCGTGTATGCAACCTGTATGTCACCACACCCGCCTCCCTCGCCCAGCTGACCACGGGTAGCAGGAAGGTGTGCGGGCCGCCCGCGTACCAGGGATGGCAAACTCGTGCTGTGTTCGCGGGCAGGGGTGAAGATCCCGTCCCGCTCTCGTCTAGGGGCGGGCGTTTCTGGCCATGAGTGCTGCTGATGAGGTCCTGGGGCCCACGCCTCGGGCTGAGACGCCCCCCGCTTCGATCTTGCAACGAAGGTTCAGGACTCTTGGTCACCAGATGGAGCAGTCTTGGCGGGTTTCGCTCTGTTCCCAGTGCGCCTCGCACACCATTCTCCCAGGAGGTAACCTGTGGCGTCTTAGTGCGAAGTGCGGTGGCCGCTCGGAACACCCGTCGACCAAGAGTTGCCAGACCTTGGAGATCAAGTATGTTGCTCAGGGCCTTCACCCTTGCACTGGCGAGGCCCTGTAAGCCGTTTAGTTTTCTGGAGGGGGCCCTGTCGGTCCGAGGCCAGGCTCTGTCAAGCCTGCGCCCTCGGGCGCAAAACTGATGGGCCCCCCTCCCTCTCCTCGCACACGTTCTTTTATGCCGTGTACCTGGCCGCTGATGCGGTCTCTTCTAGTCGGGCGGTTACGTCTCGTTCCCGCCTCGGCTGCTCGATCCTCCTCCTCCTCCTCCGCTGCTCCTCCTCCCCCTCTTCCTCCTCCTCCTCCTCCACCACCTCCTCCTCCAGTCTCCCAGCTCCCTCGATCGATCCTCCCCCCGTCCTCCCCGAATCGGTCCTCCTCCCCATTCCCCCGATCGACCATCCTCTTCCCCTCCCTCTCCATCGACCGACCCACCTTCCAGGCTCGACCGTCCCTTCCCTCTCCCTCGATCGACCGATCGATCCTCCCTTGCCCCTTCCAGGCTCAGCCACCTGCCCGTGATCGATTCCCCCCCCGCCCCCCCTTCCCCGTCAAGACCCCGATCGCACCGCCCCCCTACCCCTGACCGGGGCTCTCCAAGTCCACGGCCACCAGCTCGTGCGAGCCTCCAGAGCGGGGGGCGGCACCAGGCCGCCCCTTTAAGGGGAGAGGGAGGAACAGGGATGTGCTCGCCAATGAAGGGAAGATGAGGTAGAACGATAGAGAGAGAACGAGAACGAGAGAGAACGAGAACGAGAGAGAACGAGAACGAGAGAGAGAGAGAGAGAACGAGAACGAGAGAGAGAGGGAACTAGGAACGAGGGAGACTATAATTGTGGGTGGCATGGGTAAAAGGTAGAAGACATGGCCGCAATGGTAAGAGCGTAGCGGCGTTTTTATTTCTATACGTCAACCCGCGTGCGCGTTGTAAGCCAGAAAGGCAGCGGGCGCACATGCGTGCTCCTAGTCGAGTCGGGGCTACCGGGCAATGGCCAATTCCTCACCGCAACACTTCGGCCACAAAGGGCCACCCGCAATGAGGTGCCAGAGCATTCGCTGTGTGGCCGTCGCAATGGACGCGTGGTACAACTCGCCCATGGCTCAGGAGCCTCAACCCGAACGAGAGGGGGCTCAGTCGGCTCGTCTGTGGTCACACCGTACGTGGGGTGAACTGACCATAACCAGGGTCGCCAATCGTAGCGGCACCCCACGGCATGGAGGCCCTAAAGACAGGCTCCTTACCCGATGTGGTGTCGACCAGCCGATGTTGCCTGACAGCGGGGAGGGGAGCTGGGCACAGATCGTGCTCGGCGTGCGCTCAAGCCGCAGCACTGATCGTGCCTTCCAGAGAGGTTCGCTCCCGGGCACTGCTTTCAGCACACTGCTCGTGTGGCCGCTCGCCGTCGGCACTCTTCGGCGAGGAGGCGCCAGCTGGCGTAGCCGGCCGTAGGGCGCCAGCCGGCGTAGCTGGCGTAGCTGACTACATGCACACATGCGCGTTCAACTTGCCGATGAGCGGGTGCACGCGGACCGAAACGCGTCGACCAAGCCGCTGCACAATCCAGTCGAATCGCGCAGCATGCACCAGCGGAAGACTGCAGGAACGAGCAGGAAACAGCGCCTGGCACGTGCCAGCAAGGGGCCACGGATCCAGCAACGGCTAGAGCCAAGGTTGCTATGCTGAAGATGATGATCAGGATGATGATGATGCTGATGATGCTGCTGATGATGCTGCTGCTGCTGATGTTGTTGTTGTTGTTGTTGATGATGATGATGATGATGATGATGATGATGATGATGATGATGATGATGATGATGATGCTGATGCTGATGATGATGATGATGATGATGATGATGCTGATGCTGATGATGATGATGATGATGATGAGGAGGAGGAGGAAGAAGAGGAGGAGGAGGAGGGAGGAGCGAGGAGAAGGGGGCGGAATGGGAAGGATCTGGAGAGAAGAGGGACAGGAACACGAGCGGGGACGGAGGGAGGAGGGAGGCATTGGAGGCGTAGGAAGAGGAGGAGGAGGAGGAAGAATCCGAGGTGGAGCCAGGAAAAAGGATAACAAAAAGGAGCAGGAGTGACGACGACGACGACGACGACAACGACAACGGCAGCGGTGGCAACGTGGCGGACAACGACGAGGCGCACGGGGGGGGGGGGGGGCCTTCGACCTCGTCCTCGCCGGCGGCCGAGGAACCCGCGTCGCTGTCCCCCTCCATCGCGGAAAAAGCCCGCGGTCGGGCGCTGGGGGCGCGCGCGCCCCCTCCAGTCGAGGGGGGGGCCTCCTTCCCAAACGGGGCCCCAAGGACCTCCGAAGGGAAAAGAAAGGATCGAGGGGCGGAAGCAGAGGGGGGTCGAGTCGATCTGAACACGGTCGCTCTTTCTGGGCCCCCCGGAGGCGACCTCTGGGGACAGCCCCACGAAGAGAAGGACGACGAAGAAAGGCGACGGGATGCTGGATTTAGATGGGGCATGGAACAATCACACCAGGAAGAGGAAGGAATAATGAGGAGGAAATGAGAAACAGCAGGTAGATCGCAAAACGCAATAACGTGGAACATCAACCGTAGTGCCAACTGCGGTGGTTCTATGAAGAACACCCGTGGTCGTTGACACCAGGGGAACCGGGGCGCATCGAAAGGACATCCTACGCATTTCGGAACGACTCACGGGGCATAATACGATATCCAACCAAGCATTGTAACTATCCATGTGAAATGTGACTCAAACTCGGAGGAGCCAGTGAACTCCGACCGCTCTTTAAAAATACCTCGGGACACAGCTAGTCCATCTGAGACCTATGGCGGATACAAACGGGCCCGTATGGCGCGAATGCTCAACTGAAAGGGCGTGCTGCATTGTGCGCACGAAGCCGTTGTCCTCCAAGCTTCGCTCAACAGGATCAAGTGGCAACACGTGGGTCCTGGCCCGTCGATCATTTCGGCGATTCGGTCGTCGTTGAGTGAACGCCCATGTTTGTGGACGGTCGTCAGCGATAGAGCGCTGTCCTTGGTTGTTGGCTAGTGTTCTGGCTGGCATTTCTCGTTCGCTGGTGCGCTGTGGCCGCGAGGGATCTGTGGGAAGTCGCCGTCGACTTAGGTAATTATACACAGCTCTCCCTTCTCCACGGCTGGGCTCGGCAGATTGCTGTAACAGAGCTGGGGTCGAAGGTGCGCTCACCTCAATTCTACACTGCGCATCTCCCATTTGGAGTCTGGCTAGCACACAACGGAGACGGAGCGAGAGCGACGGCGGGGGAGGCGGGGCGGCCTGGCCCTTCGGGGCGCTCGAGTGCCCTGGGAGCCCACCCGTATCCCGCCACTGCCTCGCCGCCATGAGAATACCTTCTTGGGCCCCAGCCCACCTACCGAGCTCCTCCCCCATGCACGCGAGGCCCGCCAGTTCCTTAGCGGCCGGCTCCACATCAGGATGCATGACTGCCCCTCACTTGGCAAGGATGTCGGCCACCGTGTTGGTCTTGCGCTCCTGACGGGTAGTGCGGCCAGCCTTGACGTCGGCCTCAGACGTGCGGTTTCTGGTTTTGTGGACCAGCACCCCGTCGTCGAAGGTCCCGAGAAACCTGCACCACAGATGGGCCTGAGTGTTTCTGGCCGACGCGGCCGACTGCCAGTCCAAACGAGAGGAATCGTGGCCGCGCAGTCAGACCAAACCTCAAACGGATACTCAGCAACACGAGGCAGCATGGCAAAGGCATAAGCCTCCCCATCTTTGGACAGCTACTGGGGGCCTAACTCCCAAGGCACTGGCCAGAAGCAGGCCGAGATCATCCGCCTTTGGTCGCCCACCATCACTACACCCCATCCCACCTTCCGAAGATGAGGACTCTGAAGGACAAGGGCCGATCCGTCCGTGAACAGCTTACCTCTGAGCCGTCCGTCGTCTGGCCTCCCTATCCACATTATCTGGCACTCGGAGTCGCGATGTGGAGGCACGAGGTCTCGAGGACAGAAAAGAATACTGGCAGCCAAATGCTCTGGGCCGAGCCCTGACTCCTGCACAACTTGTGCGGCGGTCTGAAGCCGGGGCGGTACAAATTCCCGTCGACGTGGGTCCCGAGCTGGGCAACCTGACCGCCGGTGAAAGAGCGTGCCAGGGCCACCCTCGCAGAGTCTGCAAACATTCGGGTCCAGTGGGCACCCGAAACTAAAGCCCTGATGGCACTGGCATGGCCCGTGGTCCAGACCTCAGAAGCACGAGAGCAACGCTTTTCGAGCGATGCCCTGAACATCGGCCAGGCTTCACACGAGGATCCCTCGCGAGCTTCGAACTCACGAACGTCAGACATGCCGCGAGCAGCGTCGGCAACAAGCCGTACAACCGCCGTGGGAAAGATCCCAAGCAAGTCCAGAACTTCCCCAGAGGCGAGTACAACATTCCTTGCAGAAGTGGCGACCAAACAGGAGGGACGGAAGGGGGGAACGAATATGGAACAGGTTGGAGATCGGAGAAAGTATCAAGAGGACGCCGGTGCGATAAGGTGTGTAGTAGCAAGAGGTGAACGGGGAGGGAGGAGGAGGAGGCAACATGAGGAACCTTAAAGAAGGAGGAAGACGATGAGGATGACAAAGAGGAGGAGGGGAACAAGGATGGGGAGGAGGAAGAGGAGGAGACGGACAAGCTAGCTGCGCTCGCGCCATATCTGACATCCGACCCCTCCCTTCCATCTCTTCCCATTCGCTGTGTTTTTGTCTATCCGCGGACGCGTGTCATAGCCGACCTGGAACTCCCCCAAAAGACCACATCGGTTTATGCGCAGTCGGAAAAAAGGAAACTTGGGGGACTTTCCGACATGGGGGGGCCTCTTTGGCCTGTATGGCTTATGAAACCTGCGACACCTGTGGACGACCTTTCCGACCTGGGGGGTCTCTGTGGGACCTGCAAGACATGCGACACCTCTGGGACATGTGGACATGTGGGACCCGCGGGACCTGTCGGACCTGTGACCTGTGGGGCATACCAAACCTGCGACACCTGTGTGACCTGTGGAACCTGTCAGACCAGTGGTACCTGTGGGAAGTGTGGGACGACCTGAGACACCTGTGGGACCTGTGGGGCCTGCGAGACCCGCGAGACCTGTGGGGCGTGCGAGACTCGAGGGATCCAGGAAAGTGGCCCGCGTTGGGGCGGGAGCGCCCTTCTGAACGACGGGAGCACAGCGCTGATCCGAACATGATGCCAACGCAACAGCAAGACCACCATTTCCGAATACCTTGAAACACATCGGATTCCCGGATTGGAAAAAAACAAGAAGCATAAACAAAACAACACATCGCGCAATTCCTGTGGGCAACAACAAACAAGAACAGGACGCGGAGGGGGGGGGGCGAACACTCTCAGGACATATTCGGGGGAGAGAGGAGACTAGTATTCACATCACTGTACAGGAAAAACAGGAGGTGGTGAAGGAGGATCAGCTATGAGTAAGGTGGGACCTACGAGAGGTAGTGGGGATGAGGAGGGCACGGCGGCAGGATGGCCAGAGCAGAGTGCTCGAGTGCTGCGGCGCGGCGGGGCGCACACAGAGATGCAAGGGGGAGGAGGAGGACGCACACGAACAGGGAACGGGTGAGGAGAAGCGGGTAGGCTGAGGAACGAAGGGCGAGGAGGGCCTCCCCGCACTCCTCGCCCCCCATGATTCATCCTTTCTCCTCGTTTCGCCCGCCCTCCTCTGCATATATCAGACATCGTGACTCCCTGGGCCTACCTTTCATCGTCGATCGTCTTGTCGACGGCCTGGGGGCTCGAAACGGCCCCCCCGAGGCCAGCAAATATGCGCGAGGGCACATATTCTCGACATCGGCATTGTTCGCAACGGTAATCGCGTGAAGACGAAGATTTGGGGCCGTTTTGGGGTCCCTGTGGGCCCCCCACATCTGACCAAAAGTTCAAGCGGTCCCCGACAATATAAACCAATGCGAGGGCGAAAGGGACACGGACGACAATGATGATGATGATGAGGAGAAGGAGGCTCCCGACCTCCCGCCTCGCACTCTGTTCGTGATGTGGACCATCGGAGCTCTCGACCCTTTGCTGCCCCGATACGCAACACGCAACACGTAACGAGTTAATGTGCATCTCAGCACACAGACTGACAACGTATGCCTGACGTGATTCGTTCGCCACAACGTGGGCCAATACGCTGAGACAACACGCAATGTATTGACACGGACGTTGTCAGCTCGGCGCGTGTTGCGTTTCAAGACGGGCATGCAGCCAAGGCTCGACCCCATCAACGGGAGCTTCGTTCGCGGACAATTAGTTTTGCGAGCGACCCGGGGCCCGACAACAAAAAACAGGGCCCCCCCCACCCTCGGGAGGCCCAGACCTTCGAGGCGGCAGGGTCACGGCAGTTGGGGCCCTGCCCGTGAGCCCCGGCAGTGGTCTGGGGAGGAGGCGGAGGTGCAGCCAGATGGGAGCGAATCCCAAACTATGCCGTCCGCCAGCAGCAAAGGCCCCCAAGAGGCTTCCAAGAGGCCCACAAGAGGCTCCCAAGAGGCCCCAGAATTCCTCCCCGGAGGCCCCCGAGAGCCGCCCGAAGAAACGAGACCCCAAAAAGCATGCCAGAGGACTCTGGCCCACGTCAGCGTCGTCGCCGTCGCCGCCGCCGTTGTCGTCGTCGTCTCCCATCAGGGTCGGCGGCACTGGCCGTAAGGCCTTCGCAGTATGTCGTCCGCCAACAGAACCAAGAGCCTATATGAGACCCAAGCTTCCGCGCGTCGCGTTCTGTGTTGCGGCCCCCCTTGTATGGCTTTTGCCCAGGAAGCAGTCTGAGGATTTGATTACTGCCCCTGAGGTCCCACCCCCGCCTGCCCCTGAGTTGGTGCCCCTGAGGAGTCCGATTGACCTCCCGACGAGGCCACATCCCAAAAGGCTGACACGTCTCTTTGGAACGGACCTTTCGCTTTTCCGCCGGCTTCCGACGGCCTTCCGCCGGCGGAGCCGCCCCCGTCTCACCTCCGCCGCCCCCCGCCGAGGGCGAGACGTCCACCTCCCGGCCCCTCGCAGGCGGCGAGGCCCTTTTTTGGAGCGCGCCAGTGTTGGGTCGCGCGGGCGCGTCTGCAGTGGTGGGCCTCCCCGCCGCGCCGCCGCGCCGCCGGCGCGAGGCGGGGCGCATGGCGCGCCCGCGCCAGGCGCCAGCGCGAGGCGCCCGCGTCAGGCCGCCGCCGCGCCGCGCGGGTCCGCGTGCGGCCCGACCCCGCCATCGGGGCAGCCCGCGTCCAGGGCGACGCGGCAGTTCGGGCAGGTGGCCCTGGCGTGCAGCCACTGCGAGATGCAGCCCAGGTGGAACCTGAGGCGGAGCCAGCCCGAGCGGCGAACGCATCCGTGCCCACGCCCTCGCGGTCTGGACTGCGGGGCGCGATCCCGCGGCGGCGCGGTCGCGTGGATGCGTCCTTCGAGGGGCATCCGTCCGTTTCTGCGTCCTCGCGGCCCAGGCCCATGGCCCGCGTTGGCCGCGGATGCGGGTGTGTCTTTCGCCCACAGAATCGAGCCGGGACAAGTCGGGGGTCTCTGAGATCCGGTGGTTTTGTGGAGGATGTGCAGCCGTCATGCTTCCATGAAAAGCGCCAGACGAAGAACGAGGAGGCTTTTCTGGCCATGGCGAGCCTCGGCCACTAAGAGGCCCCCGACCTGGACTCACGGGACGGCCCGAAAACAAGAGGCCCCCCCCGAGCCATAATCTGTCCTTATCTCAGCATCTTGACTGCATCGGGCGCCGCGGCCGATACAGAGCGCTCTGGAACGCTCTGGGAGCCCAGGCATCCAACGATCTGATTGTTGCCAATGAGGTCCCGACTTTCGCCGAAAGCCGGCCCCAGATGTCGGCATCGAAGAAAAACACTGGGATTGAACAAATCACACCGCCTGAGGTCTGGGGGCGCATCGGAACGACCTGGAGCGGGTCTGCACTGGCCCCGTGGGCCCGCCCGAGCACCAGTGGCCGCACGGGAGTCGCACCGACTCGGCGCTGGCCTCCAGCGCCAGAAAGCACACGGAGCAGGGGTCTGCGCCCGCGCCCGGGGGGCGCAGCCAGCCCGCCAGCACGTCACGGGGGGGGCGCGCCTCTTCGGAAGCCAGAACCCCATCATCTGTGCGTTTTTTGATCCAGGCGGCGTTCTTCGATTTCGGTACTCGGGGTCCGTCGGGCCCCAAGGCCATCCAAACTGGTTCCGAGGCGAAAGAACTGCCCTGGGGAAGGAGTCGGGACCTCTGGGAGGGAAAGAAAATGACGTGGACACCCAGAGGCCTGGACCCCTTCCCAGGGCCCGGCTTTTCATTCCGAGCCGTTTTTGGACGGTCCCCAGGCTCAGTGAGGGCCCCTGAGGCCGAAGATGGCAAAACAAATCCGTCGTGACTCTCTCAAGCCGCCAGGGGGTACGGGTACGTCCCTGTTTCGCCACTGGGCCCCTGGCCTCTGCGCTGCGGAGGGACTGGTCCAGCTGGGAGTAGCTCCTGGCGATTCTCTGCCTGCCCTTGAGCACGAACACCTGCAGCTCGCGGACCTGTCGGCCGTCCACCAGCATGAGTGGCACACACAGGCTCACCAAGTTCCGAATCAACGCCATAACCGCGTCGGTGGCCTCGTGGGCGGCCGCGCGGCACACGCCAGCGTCCCTCGCCGACCAGCCACAACTTCAGGGGAGCTGGGTTCCTTGCCCCTTCCGGGAAAGCCCATCGCATCGACGATGCCTCTCTCTCTCTCTCGCTCTAGTTCTCTGTTCTTCCTCATTCTCTCTCACTCTCTCTCTCTCTCTCTTTCCCGCTCCCTCCATGTATGTATGAGTATACGTATCGATGATCGCTACATATTTGTATATACATATATATGTATATATAAATATACATAGATTCCATGTGAAATGGGAGAGAGAGAGAGGGAGCGAGACACAGATAGAGAGACACATAGAAAGAGAGAGAGAGAGACAAAACAAGAGAGAATGATAACCAACAAAAACAATGACGAAAAAGAGAGAGAGAGAGAGAGAGCGTTGAACAAAAAAACGCGCGCACGCATCCGACCCCGCCAACTGGCGTTGGGGGTGGGATGCGTTGGCGCCCGTTCGCGATGCTCGTGTCCCATCCCACCCCCACCCTGCATCGGCTGCACCCGAGACTGAGCCCCCTCCTCGTCTCCACCCCCACGCCGCCCCCTTTAAAACGGGGAGGATGGCATGCGTCGCTTTTCCCGCGGATGTATCGCTGCGCGACTATTGGCGAAAGACGACTGCGGCGAACGACAAGCGACAAAAGACTACAAAAGGGCGGCGGACAACGAACGACGAACGACGACCGAGAAACGACGACGACGACGACGACGGGCGACGAACAACGAACAACGAATGGTGACTGCGGGCGTATCGCAACGCGATCACCGCGCGGGGGGTGGGTGGGGGGTCTGCATGACAAGTTGAGACACTTTCTCGGGAACCCTCAGGGCCGCGCCAAGATTCCTCGGGCGAGGACTCATGCGGGGCATCGGCGGCGGCCTCGGCGGGCGACTTTCGCGCGGGGGTCGGCGCGCGGCGCGCGGCGCCAAGCAGCCTCCTCGCGCGACTGTGCAGCGCTCGCGCGCACAGGGAAGGACTCGCGCGCAACATCGGCGAGAGTCTCGGAACGCAAATTATCACGCTGTGGTTGGCGCGCGGCGCCAGGCAGAGTCCTCGCGCGACTGAGCAGCGCCCGAGCGCGCGGACGAAGACCCGCGCGTCCCGCCGCCATTGGTCTCAGCACGCGAGTTTCCCGTGGGGGTCGGCGCGTAACGCCAAGCAGCCTCCTCGCGCGACTGAGTAGCGCCCGCGCGCGCGAGGGGACTCGCGCGCCGCGTCGGCGGTGGTCTCGGGACGCAAGTGCACTCGCAGGGGGCCAGGGCAGCGTTCGAGTTGGCAGCGTTCGAGCGCGCGAGGGAAGGCTCGCGCGTCGCGTCGGCGGAATGATATTTCGGCGCCGCGGCCTCGATCCGCGAATGCGATGGCGCCTCGCTGCGCGGCTGGACACGCGCGCGCGCGAATGTCTCTGCGGATGCGCCGCAAACGCTCCGGAGATGCGGGCGCATCGATACGCAACGCAACCATCGCGCGGGGGGGACGAAGGATCGGCAAGAAAATAAAACGAACTGCGTTCTCAGGGCCCGTCAGGCCGCGTCGACTAGGGCTTCCTGGAAGTTTTGCGTGGCTTCTTGGGAGCTTCTGTGGCTACTCTGAGGCTTTCTGGAGCCTCTCATGGGGACTCCGAAAATCTCCTGAAGTTTCCTGGGGCCAACTGGGAATCCTGGGGCCTCCTGAAGCTTCCTGGAGCGTTCGGGAGCGCCTGGGGGAGTTTGGGGGCCTCTGTAACGCTTGGGGGGTGGTTGGGGGCGCCCGGGAAAGCTTGGGCGCTCCTGGGGCGTCTTGGGGCGTTTGGGGCCGTCTGGGGGCGTCTGGGGGCGTCTGGGAGCGTTTGGGAACGCTTCTGAAACGTCTAGGAACGCCTATCTAAAACCGCCTGCGAACGTATGGAGGCGTCTGGGTGGCCCTGGGCGCGCCTGGGGCCGCTTGGGGAGCACCTAGGGCTTGTTGGGAGCGCTTGGGCGCTCCTGGAACTGGAAGCGCGTGGGGCCGCTTGGGGAGCGCCTGGTGCTGCAGGGGGGCGTTAGAGCGTTCCTGGAACGTTCCGAGCCGCCTGGTGGCATCTGAAAGCACCTGGGAACACCTGGGAGCGTTCGGGACCGCCTGCGGAGCGCCTGGGAACGATCGTGCGCTTTTGAAGCGTGTGGGAGCGCTGGGGAACGCCTGGGAGCGTCGGGAGCGCAGATCTTGAGGTTTTTTGAACAGATCGCGGCCTCGGGGCGCCAACCGCAAGTTGATTAAGTGTTAATATCTATATCTATATATTTATATATGTATACGGGTACATCCGTACACACACATATATATATATATATATATATATATATATATATATGCGCGTATGTATATACATGTACGTGTAAACATGTGTGAATAGGTGTCTGTGTATGCATACATAAAGGTAAATGTACACGTACAAATGCATGTATATGCAAATGTATGTGGACACGCATGTGTATATGTATATGTGTATGTAACTGTTTGTGTGCATGCATATGTATGTGCATATGTAGTTGTGTGTGCGTATATACATATACAGTTGTCGATGTAGCTATATGTGTATATGTATATAGATACGTGTACCTCCATATGTCAATGTACATGTACATGTACACATGTATGCACATGCGTGTATATATGTGTTTACGTATATGCACATGCATAGGAATGTGTGTATATATACAGATATGTGTCGATGTATTTGCATATGCATATGTGTATGTACACGCGAAGGTGAATACACATGTATAGTCACGGGGATACTTATGTAACAGTTGATAATATATGTATATATACATTTACATACATACATACATACAAGACTGCAGTGGCGCTTCGCGCCATGCACCTTGGTCCTTGAAGTTTGGTATGCAGGCGGAATAGCAGGAAGGTCAAGCCGACAATTTAGCGATAACTCCTGGCTGCCTTTTCTGGCATCGCCGCTATAATAATGTTATTCGTTATCCTTTCTCCGTGCTTCTTTTCCTTATATTCGCCATGCCCTGCGCATTCTCCCCATCCTCCTCAGCTCTTTTTTGAAAAGGCTCCTCCTTGGAGAGCCTCTAGAGGCCTCACAAAAGTTGTTTCAGGCTTTCTTAAGGCCTTCTGGAGACCTCCTGGGCGTATTCTGGAGGCCTCCCGGAGCTTCCTCGGGCCACCCTGCCTCCAACCGCGGTCTCCCTGAACGGCCGAATCACGATTTGGAATTCTTCGGAGGGTGTCTTTGGGCCATCTTGGGCCGCCATGGGGCTCTTGAGGGCCATCTTGGACCCGTGTTGTGCCGTTTTGGGGCTCTCTTGGACTGCCTGGAAGCCCTTTTCGGATGGTTGTGGGGCGATTGTGGAGCCTCCCAGGCAGCTTCGGACGCCCAGAAGACCGCCGTCTTGGAGCGTCGGGAAGCCGAAAAGAGGAGAACCCTAAAATTCACCAAAAACCAACAGAAAATCAATGATTGTTGCCTCGGGGGGCCTTCTTGGGAGTGCTCTTGGAGGACTCTTTGGGGCCGTCCTGGAGGCCTCTTGGGCCATCTTGAGGTCACGTCGGTCACTCTTGGAGCGCTCTTGTGCTGTCTTGGGGGGTCTCTGGGACGTCTCCGATGACCCCCCTGATCGCCCTAGGTGTGCTGGGAAGGCTTGGCAAAACGCCTCGCGAGGCCCGGTGGCCGCTTGGAGGCCCGTCTGGAGGGTCCCACAGCCCCAGGTCCCGGGAGTCCTGTTTTTTTTTGGGGGGGGGGGGCGTGACGGGTTTTCCCCCCGCCCGGGCTTATGAAAATATAGGAAGAGGAATATGCACGTATAGATTGGTATATATAGATGCGTGCACACATACATCGAGTTCTGTGTGTATGCATATATATATATATGTATAAAACATAGAGGGGTATGTATATATCCTTACTCTGGGCATTATGGGAGAGGCGCCGCTCGCACTCTGGAGTCTCCAAAAACTAATTGTTTGAGCGTGCGGTGTCGGCGGGCGACTTCCAAAAATCCCCGCGGCCCAGATTCGATACTGACAGGGAGTCGAGCTGAACGCTCCGACCACTAGTCGCTCGCTGCTTGACGATTGTCAGGACCGGCGCTCGCCCTGGAGAGAGACAGAGAGAGAGAGAGAGAAACCATGTGTGTTAAATATGCTTCTCGAAGCCGACGGGCCCTCCAGGGGGGGGGGCCAACGACCACAGCCCAACCCGTTCGTGGCTGGTCTGCCTGAGGCCGGCCAGCACCTGCTCCTTCTCCTCCCGGCTGCCAGCAAGAGTGACCCCGGGCAAGATCGGGTCGGGCGAAAGGGGGGGATAGCAAAGGGGGGGTTTGAGAATCAGCTCACGTAGCTGATTTTCCCGGCGCCTCCCGGCGCCGGGAGGCGCCCATGTATCGAGGAATGGGCCCCTCGGTGAGGCCGAAATCAGCTGCATGCAGCAAATTTCGTAACCCCCCCTTTCCCAATCCCCCCCTTTCGCCCGGCCCGACGAGAGTGGCCTTCGACGCGCGGCCCGGAGGGGCCGCCGCGGGGGGGCAACGCCGCGGGGGGCAACGCCCACGCGAGCGGGCCCGTGCATGGGGCGACCTCCGCGGGCCCGCGCCCAAAAGGCCCCTCCGGCGAGGGGGGCCGCTCCCGCGAGCAGCCGATGTCCTCCCGCGTAGCGAAGGCTAGCGAGTCGAGGAGGGCACTCTGCCTTGAGGGGCAACCATCGGGGATGGACAGACCTCCCTTTAGTAAAACGTGGTTTAGTGAAAACGACCTGAGGCCCAAACCTGGCGGGCGCAGGCCTGGAAAATAGCGGCCGCGGCGCCCTCTCGAGAACCGAAAACGCACAATTCACTAATCGACGTGTCACTGTTGGGGGTTCTGTCCGCCCCCGAAACCATCGGGGAGGGGGACTGGCTCAGGGGGGGCATACGGGCGACAAGTCCACAGTAGCGAATCCGCAGGGTCCTGGGCGGGGTGGGCCATCGTGCCCCTCATCGGCGATCGATGGGCGATCGAGGGTCGACGCATCCTCCCCGTGACCCCCTGAGCCGATCCCCGCTTCGTGGTGCCCCTGACCGTCCGCCTCGTGATCCTCGCCGTCCGGCGTTCGGGTCATAACTCGGCTCTCTGGCGATCTGGGCACGCCTCTCGGCGAGGCGCAGCCGCCGGACGGCACCCCGAGGCTGGAACACCGCCTGGAACCCACGAGCGTCACCGAACACCTGGAAACTCGATTCCGAGAAAGCCGTTGCCCCGAACGCGGCTTCACGCAAGGGTGACACTAGGCACGAGTGACCTTTGCTGCGCGGCTGCAGGTGGGCAGGTGGGGGGAGGGGAAGGGGAAGCCCAAGCGCGCAAACCCCTGCTGTCGCACCGCGCTCAGTGATCCGTGGACCCGAGTATGCCCGCACCAAAGGACACTCCGGCGAAAGGTCACTCTGTCGTGTAGCCACTTACGTTGCTCCTGAGCCAATGATCCTCGTCGTCTGGCTTCTGGGTTCAAAAACTGGTCTTCGGCAGCCGTTCGGGGCGATATGGGCACCCCTGCACGCCTCCCAGCGAGGCGCAGCTGCCGGAACGCATCCCGAGGCTGGAACACCACCCAGAGCCGATCAAATCGATGCCCCTGACGCTGCCCCGGAAGCCTCCGCAGCCTGGCGCAAACGTCCTCGTAGCGGTGCACAGCGTCGCGGTGGATAATGTCCCCCCACGGCAGCCCGCGCAGGCCGCTCCGCTCCTCCTCGCCCAGGCGCTCGCCTCGGGGCTCCTGGGCCCAGGCGCTTACAGCATCGAGTCGTCGCCGCCGGGCCTTATAGGAGGCAGCTCCTGGGAGGTCTTCAGCAGAACAACTATGGGGAGCCCACAGAGGACGTGGGTGCCCAACCACGTACATGAACACGCCCCCCTGGCCGCAAGACCAGCCTCGTGATACGAATGTTCGCAAGCAACGTGGATTCATGTATGTGTACGTCCTTCTTTCGCTACTGTGATTAAGGGCTGCTAGGCCAGATTAGGAGGCCACTGAACCGGACTGGGCCGGACTAGGCCCGGGATTCAGAAAGTAACGATGCCGGTTTCATCGGGATTGGGCCAGATCAAGCGGGATGAAACCGGGTTGGGCCAGTTCTCGACCAGGGATATGCCAGCGCCGATTCTGAATTTAACCTTCCAGGAGTTGCATACGAACGGGCCTGCTCGATGCGCCGCGCGCGCTCGGCCTCCACCTCGCACGACGTGATGCGGAACAGCTCGAAGAAGTGCGTCACCTCTGCCGTGGCAGCTCATGGGGGCCTCCCATGTCGTCTTGCTGACTCTGTCGGATCGACGCTGTAGCCGACGGTAGTCGACGCTCATCGACACTGAATCGGCGCTACATCGGCGGTAGTCGCCGCTGATTCGCCACTTTCTCATCGATTGTGAAACGCGAGCGCAAGCTGATGTACTCTAGAGACGCAAGCGCGAGGACACACAAGATGCAAGGCTCCCATGAGTTGCTAGCAAGCACCTCCGTCGACCGCTCGTAGAAGCCCTCCTCGCCCTGCACCAACTGCATCACCTTGCCCCGGAACGCGCAGCCGTCGTCCTCCAGCTGGTCGGGCCCGATGGTGCCCTCGCAGCAAGTTTCGCCGTCTGCGAACACAACCTTGACCCTGACCGGCTGCCCTGGCGCCTCGACCGCCTCGAACGCGATGTGGCAGGTCTGCACGTCCTCATAGGCGGCGTGCCTCGCCATCAGCGAGCGCCCGCCCAGCTCGTCGACGGACTCCTCCACCACCTCAAGCGTGTACTCCCGGCGCCGGCTGGCCTCCGCGTCCTCCCCGCCGCTGGACGTCGCCATCCCGGGGATCGCAATGGTGCCCCGGAACTGCGACCCTGGCCGGAAGAAGGCCCGCGCGGCCTCCAGGGCGGCGGTCACGGCGGGAGTGGCGCTGCCGCCGCCGGCGGAGCCGTTGCCGCCGACCTCCGGAACAGGGTGGAATTGAGACCACGGCGGCTCAAACTCTCGGGGACTCATACCCACCGGGGTCAATCCAGACCCGGGCCAGTCGACTTCCCAGACAACCTCGGGCAATGAAAAAAGCACGACGGGAGGTTGTTTGCTTTTTTCGGCCTCCGGGGGGGCCCTTACCGGCCCTCGAGAACGTCAAAAAAAAACGCAGGATGAAAAACCGGTCCAGGGGAATGGGTCGAAACCTCCTGGGGTCGACGCAGTGAACAAGTCATGACGTCGGGTGTCTGGGTTTGCAGGATCCTGCAAAATCCTGCGCCCAGGCTGACCCCCGTTTGCGTTAATCAGGTCGGGCATGTCCCCCTACGGGCGGATTTTGCATTCAATACAAACTTGTTCAAGTAATAATCAAAAAAAGGAGAATACGCAAAACAAGCTTCCCCTGACAATTGTTTTAAACTATTTCTGAATATATCTCCTGTAGAGGCCCGACTTAACGTTTGCACTGGCCCCCGTCTCTTAACCCCTGGCGATCGATCGGCCCAGGCCCCTCCCGCGGGGTCCGAGCGCACCAGCTTTCCGGCCGCCTCCAGCCCGGGGGCGACGGAGGGCCCCGCCCTCGGAAGGCCGACCACCGCTGCCTCAACAGATGGGCACATTTTCCACCACCATTACCATGTGTAGGACGGGGGAGAAGGAAGGATGAGGTGGTCCTCCTCGACCAAACCAAGGCGCAACATCAGTCTGTCACACCCATGCCACTTCCGCCACCACGCCAGCGTGCGTGGGTGGCGCCTGCAGCCACTTACCAGCGACGCCGCTGACGTGGGTGGCGCCTGACTGCCGCTTGCGCCACCATCCGCGGGGGCAGATGGGCGGCGCTCTCCAAAACCTTGCCCCGAGGTGGTCTCGCCGACGCGCAGCACCTCCGAAGCGATCAGTGGCTGCACAAGGTGGCGCCACTGCTTATTCACAGAGAATCGCCCTTTGGCGAGGTTCGACACCACACGAGCACCCCAGGAGCCGCGAGGTTGCGGTCCTGGTCAGACACTCGAGAGCCTGGCCGAAACGACCGTCCCACCCGCCCGACACACACAGCACACCACGCACCACTGCCCTCACACACAAGTTGGAAAGCGTGCGAGACGTGCTGCCTGCCGCCAACAGACACCGTGCGCACATGGGCCAGGTCGGCTGTCGAGAGCACGGGCGGCGCGCTGGCGGGCGGCGCATGCGCGGCTAGGGCGGGCGCCGCCTGCTGACGCGACAACTTCGCACAGCTGGCAGCTTTCTTTGAGCTATGAAATGCATCGAGGTCGGCCATGGGCGGGCCGATCTCGGTCGCCCACGAGGCCCATGCACTGACAACTTTGGCCTTATGATTGATGGCCTGCCTGACGTCTACGGGGATCCTCCACCTGGGGCGCTGCCGCTGCGCCCGGGCACCTGCGATATCATTCCCCGCCTTCAACCAGGCCGTCGGGCGCCCGCTCTGCGCCGCAGCACGCGCGCAGTGCGAGCGCACCTTGACAACGCGCACGTGCTCAATCACCCCCAGTCCTCCACCCGCTCCCAGACTTGAGCCCAGGTCTCCGCCCAAGCTGAGCGAGGGGAGATGCAGAAAGCACGTCCGCGCACATACAAGCCGCCATGCACGAACGCGCTGTCCGCGTGCAGCGTGGACCCGGGCACGGCATGCTGCAGCGCGCGAAGCAGGGCCACGAGTTCGGCAGCATCGATGTCGACTGTGTCAAAATCGAGCGTGCCGCAAAAACTGAAAGCGCGCGATCTGACTCGGGATGGACCGCAACGATGGCCCAAGCCGCGACCTGCGACCGCATCGGGAGATGCTGATCCACCCAAGAGCCGCCCAAAAAGACGCGCCCTTACATCTGCGCAGGTCCACCCCCGAACCAGCGAGAGGGCGGGCGAGACGAAGCGGGCAGAGAGGAGAGGAACGAGGAGCCTCTCGGCGAACAAGCGAGGAAGGGGGTCGATGGAGGCACGCACAAGGCAAGCGGCAAAGTCGGGCGGCCGCGCTTCGGGGTGCATCTCCTCATGCATGCCGCAGGCGGCATGGCGACGCAGGGGCGCGCCTGGGGGCCTGCTCGCACAGCTGACAAACCTCGTCCTGCACAAGCCCCGTCTCCCATTGTCTGCGCTGCGGCCACTGGCCACCAGCCGCGACTAAGCGCAAATATCCATGCTCTTGAGGCGCGAAAGAGGCACTCTGAAGGAGCGTGCGAAGGGTTTCGATGTGCGCACCATTCGCCAGCTCAGGCACGCACTCACGCTCGGCGACCTTGCTCCACAGCCAGCGCTCGACCACATGCACAAGCCACATGCGCACAGTTCGAGGCGACTGCACTGAGAAATCAACCGAGCCAAGTTGTTCGTGACTCCCTTCAAAGCCCGAAGCGACAACCCCTAAACGTTTGCCGGCGGCTGCGCACGCCGCGAAAGGGCCGCGGACCGCCGCCCGAGGCTTCCCATGGCCCCAAAGCGCAGCCCCCGCCAAAAAATAACCCCTTGGATCCGAACTTTCCCGGGCAGAAGCTCGCCCCAGACGGCCGCAGCAAAACTAGAGGATCGAGCTGCAGACGGCAGGCAGGATCACACAAACGAGCTGGCGACAACATATGCATGAGGGAGACACTTTTCCATGCAAGACTGAAGCTATGCACGCGGGCCTGCTGAACCCTGGCTTCGCGCAGCGCAGAGCTGCTGGCGCCGTGCGCAGTGTCCCCATACTTCGAGGAGGTTAGTATAGCGGCCTGCAGCATAGTGCGCAGCCGCGACTGCCGCACATGCTTGGGAAAGTGCATGAGCTTACGGGCCCGAGGTCGAGCTGGCGCCCGGCGCCCCTGCCTGGTCAAGCAAGGCTTCACAGCCGCGGCAGAAAAATCGGCACCAAGGCTACGTTCATTGGCTGTGCCAAGAACCTTGAAACTGCGAAGCTGACGCACCAGCTGAGCTCGGACCGTGGGAGACGGCGCAACGACGCGACTCTTCCTGCGAACGACGGGAAGGTAGACTCGGTCCAGCTCAGCACGCAGCATCTTGGTGAGCCCCACCAGGTCGGTGAGCAGGTCTTGAGGCCTTCCAACCGGGTGCAGCCCAAAGTCGTCGACGACGACGCCCAGCCGCTCCAGGCGATGACGCTCGCAAGCTCTGTCCACTGGCCTTGGGGGCACCATCTGCAACATGATTGTCGCAAAGTGACACCCTGGAAGCACGGCCTGGGGTGCGCGCGCTGGCGACGATACGCGCACCGCCCATGGAAAGGACTCTTGGCGCTCTGTGCAACATCGCCAGCAGCTTCAGCTGGCGCATCGGAAAACCTGCGCTGGCTGCAGCACGAATCAACTCGCTGTGGCGAATGTGTTCGAAGGCCCTCTGAAGATCTAAGGGGATCAATCCGCTGGAGAACCGCTCAGAACTGGCCGCCTGGATCCATGCGAGCTCGTCGCTGCTACGACCGATGGTGGCCCACCAATGCCGGCGCGGGCGTTCGGCCTGCCATTTGCTGACTAAAAAGCTGCGGAGGCGACCCTGCGCGCGCTCCAGGACGCGCATCAGGGCGATGGGCCTGAGGCCGCCCTCTTGTTTGGCCAAGAACGCAACCTTCGCGTAGAACGCAGGCCAGCTGCAGGTCCGTTCTACGTCGCGCAAAATCGCAAGGAAGGCCACGAGGCCCTCGTCCGAGACCGCCAAAAGCTAAATCAAAACCGCACCCCGATCGGGGCGGGAAGGCGCGCACAACTCGTTTTAGCGCGCCCAGGCTGGGCTCGGGAAAATCAGGCCCCACATCGGCGGGCCACGCGACGTCGTCCTGCAGGGCGCCGACCTTCCACCACCCAGACCACTCGTCCTCCAACAACCGAATCTCATCACTCATAGTGGCTGGCGCCCCTGAGGGAGACAGGCTGCTGGCGCGCCACGGCGCTGCGGGCTTGCTGTGCGCGTGCAAGGCCGCTCCTCCGTTGAGCGCGTGAGACTCGACCCAAGACCCCCACCCGCGGCTCTTGTCAGAATCGGCGGCCTGGTGAACAGCAACAGCACGCGCGCGCGCCACCTGTGCGAGCGCGCGCAAGCGCGTGCGAGAGCGACGAGGCAACGTGCAACGCAGCGCACCGCATGCTCGCGCAATCCGCGCTGCGACCGTCCTGAGGCGCGCGCGCGCGACAAGCTTGCGAGCCAGTCGAAGCGTGCAGTCGCGAAGTCGAGGTGTTGGTATCAAACCGCGAGGCCATTGAGGCACTCGGCGAGGGGCCGCCACCACAGGGCTGCAGCACTGAGGCGGGGCGAGGGAGAGATCCTGGCGACCGGGCGCCTGCCGCGCGCAAAAGTTCGGGCCAGCCGGTCTGCCAATATATTCTGCATTCGGAACTACATCTAAATCGTAGACGTCGGCCCAGTCACGCTCAGCTGCGTCGAGCCACAGCCGCCATCTACAGCCCAGATCGAGACCCTCGGACTGGATGGAAAAGTCCACCCAGTCCAGGGCGGGATCTGCGCGGCGGCAGCCCGGTGGAATGCCCGCTGGCAGACGCCTGGGCACCTCAGCTCTCTTGTAGCTGAGGTCGCGGGTCACAGATTGCTTCAAGGTGAGGGCCACAGGGCAGCGTGGCGCAGTGCCACCGCCGACGAGGATCTCAGCTCGAGCCCCATAGCTGAGCGCCCTCGAGGCCACGAGAAAGTCGATGCACCTGCCAGCACCAGCCGAGCTGTTGGTGCAAGTGGCGCAGGCAGGCGCTACGCACAGGGCGCCCACGGCCTCCGCCCACTCGGAGCCGATCAGAGATTCAGGCAGCATCTGGAAATCGCCGCACAGCACAAAGGGCACCGGAAGTTTCTTGAGGGTCCCGCCGATCCGAGTGAGAATGCGCCAGTTCTTTGGCCCGAGCTCCTGACTGTGATGCATGTACACCGCCGCGAAAGCAAAGTCCCCTGGCACCAAGCCGTGGCAATGCAGAACCCGCGCACGCCCAGCAGCAATGTGGGTGTCCACGACCTCAAAGCGCCGCAGCCCTGAGGCCTTGGGCACCATCTGCAGCAGCCCGCCCGAGTTGCCACCACGTCCTGTGTCGGCTGCAGCACCCATCCAGGCCTTCCAGCCAGCTTCGCCCAGCCTGTACTCCCATGCGTCTGCCTAGGAGCGATCCAAATGATGCTTCTGGGCCGCAGCGGCATCGGCGGCCCGCACCCCCGGGTGCTTCAATATGGCCTCGAGCCCAACCAACCCAGTCACATTGCTCGTAACAGTGGTGAAGGTGTCAAGCATACCACCGCGCCTGCTACCCAGACGCTGGTTCCATCTTGGCCTTCTTCTGCTTGGCCTGGATGAGAATGGAGTCGAAGATACCCTGCACCAGCTCGTGTTTGACCCCGTGCTTGTCGGCGAGGAGGGCGGCGGCAGTCACGGCATGGGAGCCACCTTCACCTTCGTCGGCAGGAGGGTCAGCGGTCTGCTGCTGGCACCACTCGAGCAGCTCTTGATAGGCAGCATCTGCCCGCTGCCGAGTGGCCATGGCGTCGCTGGTGCCCGCGACGCTGGGGGCGCCTGGCTGCACAGGCCCAGAGGCGGGCGCGGTGGTGGCTGCGCCGTCGGTGGGGGGTGGTCCCTAGCCGACGCGCATGGCACCGCCAGCATCAGGAGCAGCAGGAGCGGCAGGAACGGGAACCGCCAGCACAGCATGAAGGCTCGGCAGCAGGCCCTTGAGCTGCGCGGCGGAGTCCTGCAGCCTCTGGTCCTTGGCCACGGCGTCGGCCAAGGCGGAAAACTGCTGGACGGGCCCGCCCTCGACGACCACGGCAGACCACATCTCGGCGCAGGCCTTGGCTGCGCGTGCCGCAGCCTCCTTGCACTTCTTGTCGGGGTCGTCGAGCTCGGACTTGAGCTTGGCGGCGCGAGCGACCGCCTGGTTGGCCTGCTCGCACGCCTTGTCGTAGGCGCGCTGCGCCCTGTCGCGCTGGTCTGACAGCTGATCCTGTGCGACGCGCGCCTCCTTCGCGGACGCCACGGGCTCGCCCTGCAGCAGCGCACGCCTGGCGAGCACCCGCGCCACCTGCTTGGGCGGCCACGCAGCGGACAGCTTGCTGAAGTCGTCCACGCTGAGACCTCCGTACACGTTGAGCGAAGCCTCGTCAAGCACAATCGCCAGCAACCCTGAGGCCTGTTGGGGGCCGCGCTGCCACGCGCCTCGGGCCTTGCCTCCCTCAAGCTGGACCTTGGGCACGTTAGTGGGCGCAGGCTTGCCCCATATGCGACAGGCTGTCCGAGAGAGGAAGTTGTGCCTGTATGCGCACTTCTTGTCACTGCACGCCCAAGTCCTGAAATCATCGGGTGCCATCGACCTGCCGTGACGAGTGTGCGAGTGCGGGATGAACCGCGAGACACAGAAAGGAAGGAGGTGTTGTCTCCAGGAAGCGGGTGGGGCCGCGAATCCCCTTGCCAAAACAAAACGCTCACGTCCGGAACCACCGCTACGAACTTGAGCCGAAATGGCTACGGATGAGGTGGTTCTCCTCCTCCTCCTCCTCCTCCTCCTCCTCCTCCTCCTCCTCCTCCCTCTCCTGCCCATGGTAGTGGTGCTGGAAAATGGGCCCATCATCAACTCGCCCCCCTCTGACGACCTGGTCCCCGAACGGCCACGCGAGCTGCTCGAGGGGCACGGAGTAGCAGACCGCGCCAGCCGCGCTTTCCACCTCGCTAGCTCCAACGTTGCCCCCCTTTGGCTGTCGGGTCACAGCTCGGCTCTCTCTGGCGGCCGCTCGGGAGGATTCGGGCACCCCTGGGACGCTCTCGGCGAGGCGCAGCCGCTGGAAGGCGTCTCGAGGCTGGACAAGAGAGCCGAGAGCTGACGAGACCGCTCGAACCCCCCTGGCCTCGCCGCCGAGAAATCATATCCTCGGAGATATGGGCGCGGCGCCCGTGGACCGAGCGCGCCACGAAAAAGCTTGAAAACCCTCGCCCCCGCCACCTCCGAAACCGTTCTCCTCCTCCTCCTCCTCCTCCTTCTCCTCCTCCCCCCAATCACGAAGACGCCCGAAAACTCCACCTCCCCCCCCTCGACAACGAGAGCATCCGAAAACGTTCGACAACTCCACCTACCCCCCCCCCTACCACGAGAACGCACGAAAACGCCCGAAAATTTCCCCTCCACCTCCCCCTCGACCACGAGAACATCTGAACACGTCAACAAACTCCCCGCCCTCCCCCTCGACTACGAGAACGTCCGGAAAAAATCCGAGTACGTCCGACAAACTTCCTCGGCGACTCCGAGGGATGCGGTTTGCAAAGGGCGTGGTCCGCAACCGGCACCGTGGGGGGCACCCTGGGGGGCGGCGAGGACCTCGACAGGACTCCGCCGAGCCCCGAGGACGCCCGACGAGCAAGCCGACGAGGACAGTGTCGTGCTCCCCAGGCCCCAACGGTGCCGATGGCAAACCACACACCGGCGAAACCATACCCTTCGTAGTCTCGGACGCTCCCGCTCGACCACGAAAAACGTCCGACAAAACGCCCCCCACCCCCGCCGCCTCGACCACGAAAACTTTGAAAATTCCGCCTCCCTGGACGCCTGGCGAGGGCTCCCGGGGGGCGTAATCGGCCCCAAGCGCGCCGCTCCAATTTTGTCGGAGCGTCGGATCTCTGATTCCCCCTCGACTGAGAGAGCCCAGGGACACACAAACAGTGTTCTCGACTTTCGTCTTCCCCCCACTTCCCATATTGTCCCTAGATCTTCGGGGGAATCGACGATTCTTCGTGTCTGTTGCTTTTCCCCCCTCCGGATCGATCCCGAGAGCGTCCGACCAGTCCTTCCCCGCCCCCGCCGCCTCCACCACGAAGCGGCGGTGGCCGCCCTCCGCGGCCTCGAGGCCGCGGGTGAGCGCCCGGCGCCCCCGCAGCTCGGGGTGCCCAGGCACGCCCCGCAGCTGCACGCTCCTGTGAGGAGAGCAGACGCGCCTCGATGAGACGACGCCAGGGCGAGGACAGCATTGGGGGAGGATGAATCCCAAGACACGATCGAGCCGATTTTTGGTTATACAAAAAAGGCTCGTCGCTTGGGCCCCACCGCCAGCCCAAACGGCGAGCATAGATCGGGCGTAGCCCCGCACGCATTCGAATGTCCATAGATTGCGCGATAGGTTGCGCCCTAGGCGGCCGAGAATAAAACAGTCTCCCATCGGTTGCGCCGTAGGTTGCGCCCTGGGCGGCCGAGAATAAAACCGTCTCCTATCAGTTGCGCCACAGGTTGCGCCCTCGGCGGCCGAGAATACAACCGTCTCCGATCGGTTGTGCCATAAGTTGCGCCCTCGGCGGCCGAGAATACAACCGTCTCCTATCGGTTGTGCCATAGGTTGCGCCCTTGGCGGCCGAGAATACAACCGTCGCGTAACGGGTGAGACCAGTCTGTTCAGTTCAGTTCAGTTCAACTCAATTCAATCAGTTGACCTCGCGAACAAACAATCGGTCTACGCCCCAAATCGCGACGAGAGGTTATTGGCAATGTTCGGCCTCTGGAGGCCCTCGCCGGGCCTCGGGACCGTCAAGAAAGACTCAGGATGAGAAACCGGTCCCGGGGAAAGGGTCGGGACTTCCAGGGACCGCGTATAGAACAAATAAAAGACTTCGCATGTCTGGGTCGACAATCTCTGAGATCTGGCGGCTCTGGAGGATGTCTCGGGCGCCGCGGCCCCCTCAGCGCGTTCCAGAACGCCCTGAGGGCGTGCTGGAGCGCTCTGGAACGGATTCATCTTCCTCCTCACCCCGCCCGACTCGGGCTAAGCTTCACAAGCCTGGGATCAACTATACACAAGAGTGACCCTAGGCAAGAGTGACCTTTGGTGATCGACTTTCGGGGGCCGCGGGGAGGCCAAACCCGAGCGCGCAAGACGCTGCTATCGCATCGCGTTCAATCATCTGGGGACCCCAGTGTGCCCGCACCAAAGGTCACTCCAGCGAAAGGTCACTCTCACGTGCAGCCAATGGGAGGTGAGCAGACTTGATGAGCTAAGCTTGACAAGCCTCGAGCTCCAAGCTCCTGGAAGGGGGGAAACCCCTGAGACTCACAAGCCAAAAGGCTGCGGCGATAGTAATCTTAGGAGAGCGCGATCCACCGCCGCTTTACTGTGGACCATTCCCCCCCCTTTTCTTCCGGAACCCGGGGTCCCCCCCCTCCCCGCTGGACCCCGCCCCACCCCTTCCCCCCAGCAAAACCCCCCCCCCTCCGGAACACCGGGGGGGGGCCACTACTGGTTCGAACCGCCCCCCCCCCCTCCAGAAAACCGTGGAGGGGTCACTACTGGTTCGAACCCCCCCCCCCTCCTCCAGAAAACCGGAGGGGGGGTTTACTACCCGTTCGAACCCCCCCCCCACTCACCGCCGGCAAAGGACTTCTGGGTCCCCACCACCGTTCGCACCACATCCCCCACTGCTGTCCCGAGCACCACTGTCCCCACCACCACTGTTCCCACTGTTCCTACCACCGTCCCCACTGTCCCCACCAGTGCCCCCACCACTGTCGCAGTGTCCCCACTGTCCCCACCGCTCGCTGTTCCTTCCCACCACGGTCCCACTCTCTCCACTTTCCCCACGGTCCCCACCACTGTCCCACTGACCCCACTGTCCCCACTGTCCCCGCCGCTGTCCCACTGAGCTGTCCCACCGTTCCCACCACTGTCCCCACTGTCCCCACCACTGTCCCCACTGCACCTTTGTCCGATTGTCCCACAACCGTCCTCGCCACCGCCCTCACAATTGTCCCCACCACCACTGTCACCACCACTGTCCTTCTGTCCCCACCACATTCCCAATGCCTCCACACCACTGTCCCCACCACCACCGTCCCCACCGCTGTCCCAGTCCCCACAACTAACCGTCCCACTGTCCCCACTGTCCCCACTGTTCCCACTATTGTTCCCGCTGTCCCCACCAGTGCCCCACCAGTGTCTCACTGTCCCCACTCTCCCCACCATTGTCCCACCACGGTCCCACTTTCCCCACTTTCCCCACCACTGTCCCACTCTCTCCACAGTTCCCACCACTGTCCCACTGTCCCCAGTCCCCGCCGCTGTCCCACTGTGCTGTCCCACTGTCCCCACTGTCCCCACCACTCTCCCCACTGTACTACTGTCCCACCACCGTCCTCACCACCGCCTTCACCACTGTCCCCACCACTACGGCCCCCACCACTGTCCTATTGTCCCTACCACTGTCCCACTGTCCCCACACCACTGTCCCCACCACCACCTTCCCCACCGCTGTCCCAGTATCCCCACCACTGTCCACCTGTCCCGAGGAGCGAGAATCGTTTGCCGGCGGCGAGGGGGGGGGGGAAGTTCGAACCGGTAGTGACCCCCCCGGTTTTCGAGGGAGGGGTGTTCGAATCGGTAGTGACCCCCCCCCTTTTCATGATGGACTGGGGCCAGGGGGGGTTCGAACCGGCAGTGACCCCCCCGGTTTTCGAGGGGGGGGGACGGGTTGTGAACCCCCAGTGACCCCCCCCGGGTTTCCTCCGGCAGCGGTAGAACACGCTCTTTCTTAACTTAGAGCGCGTTTTGTACTATTCGCGGTGGCGCCCGTCACGTCACGAGTCGAGCCGGCGCCATCTGGGCATGAGCCATATTCTTAGGCATGCCCAGCGGGCCCCTCCCCCCGTGGTCATGCCTGCTATCGCCAGGGAAGAAAAGAAATGCTCTTTTTGGGTTGCGCCCTCAGAAACTGAAAGAAGCCATGAGATCGCCATCGAGATGAGGGGATGCTGCTGGTAGGGACAGGGATGTGTTTCAGGCTGGTAGCAGTTGGAGGCGCGCGCAAGGGAATAATACGAGGGGGGAGGCCTCCCGAGAAGGCGGGGGGGCTTCTTAGACGCCAGCGGCCTCCGTAGAAAGGCCCGGAGGCTTCGACAGAAGGTCTCGTAGAAGCTGGCAGGGCCTCCACCACCAGCCTTCTCAAAAGACCCCCTGCCCTCTCAAAGGCCGCCCCAATTCGCAACCAAAGCCGAGAGCACAGTACTTCGAAGGGCCACGCGGAGCCCTACGGAATGCGGCGCGAAAGACTGATGCAAATCTCCGACGATGTGATCTGCTCAATGCGGGCGTCGTTCCGCGCATGTCGGCCTGCGGGGCCCGTCAACGGGCCCAGGGACCTTCCGGAACTGATGCGAGGCAGAAAAGTGGCCCTGGGGAAAGGGTCGTGACCTCCTGTGCCGCGCACTGAACAAATCACACCGCCGGATGTCGGGGAAAGGCGTCTGTCATTCGATAGTTCCACGCCCCCTCGAGTCATGGAAATCTCACGACGCAAATGTGTTCCCATACGTTTTGCCTCTGGAGGCCCTCACCAGGCCACGGGTTGTCACAAAACCACTCAGGATGAAATGCTGGTCCCCGAGAAGGTGTCCAGGTCTCTGGAGTCCACGTCATGACAAAAAAACGAGCTCGGGGGTCTGGACTTTGCTCTTCTCTTGACATCCCACCAGCCCTTCAGGGCCTAGGTGGTGATTTAGCGAGTTGATTATTCCAACCCTTCCGTGGAGGTCTTCATTCCTGCTCCCAATCAACGTACACCCTGTCCCCTACTCGGCTGGCCTCCGACAGGGGCCAATGCGCCCCCCCCGCCCCACCCTCGCCATCCTTGTTCCCAACCATCCTGTGCTGAGCTGGGTCCTCGCTTTGAATCAGCTGTGCGCCGGGTCCAACCCTCCTCCTCGCCCGCCTCTCCCGCCTCACTATCCCGGCGCACCTCTCACACGTTTCGTGGCCCCACAGGGAGCTCAACCCACGGCCCCAATGGTTACGCCCGCATGCCGCCGCCACCTAACTTAGGCGCACGCCTCACGCGGTTCCTGGCAGCATAGGTACCTCCACCTACGGCCTCAATGGTTGCGCCCGCATGCCGCCGCCACCCACACTTCGGCACACCCCTCAAACGCTATGTGGCCCCATGGGGAGCGCCACCTACGGCCCCAACGGTTGCGCCCACATGCCGCCGCCTCGCCACTTTGGCGCATCCCTCCCCCGCGTCGTGTCCCCATAAGGAGCTCCACCTAAAGCCCCTGTGGTTGCGCCGGCATGCCGAGGCCACTCCGCTTTGGCGCGCCCCTTACACACTTTTTGGCCCCACAGGGCGCCGCCATCCCCACTTGGGCGCACTCCTCACACGTTTTCGTGGCAGCATAGTGAGCTCCAACTAAGGCCCCAGCGGTTGCGCCCGCATGCCTCCGCCAACCCACTGTGGTTCACCCCTCACACGTTTCGTGGCCACACAGGGATCTCCACCCAAAGCCCCTGTGGTTGCGATGGCATGTCGCCGCCACTCCACTTTGGCGCATCCCTCACACGCTTCGTGGCCCCGTGGGGAGCTCCGCCTAAGGCTCGAGTGGCTGCGCCCGCATGCCGCCGCCACCCCCACTTTGGCACACCCCTCATACGATCCATGGCCCCATGGGGAGCTCCTCCTAAGGCCCCAGCGGTTACGCCCGCATGCCGCCGCCACCTGACTTTGGCGCACCCCTCACGCGATTTGTGGCCCCATAGGAAGCTCCACCTAAGGCCCCAATGGTTGCGCGGGCATGCCGATACCACCCCACGTTGGTGCACCCTTCACACGATCAGTGGCCCCAGAAGGAGCTCCGCCTAAGGCTCTAGTGGCTGCATTCGCATGCCTTTTCCAAAACATGTCGGCACACCCCTCACGCGCTTCGTGGCCCCAGGAGGAGCTCCACCAAGTGCCCCATCGTCAAGAATTGCATGCGTGACCGCGCCCATGTCGGCACACCCGTCACACGTAGCCATTAGGGAGCTCCACCTAAGCCCCCATTGGAAGGAATGACATGCGTGACCATGCCCATTTCGGCACACACGCTTCGTGGCCCAATCGGGAGCTCCGCCGAAGGCCCTAGGTGCGGGAATCGCATGCGCGACCGCGCCTATTTCGGCACCCCCTCGCACGATTCGCGGCCCCCTGGGGAGCTCGAGCGAATGTCTCATCGGCATGAATCGCATGTGTGCCCGCGGCCATTTTGGCACACCCGGTCACCCCTCGCACGTTTCGCGATCCTATAGGAGCTTCACCACATGCCCCGCCGCATGCTGCTCCCCAAACCGCGCCCTGCTGCTCCCCAGGGCCAAGCTGACAGACGCTCAGATCAGCCGTGACGAGTTACATCCAGATGTAGCCCGTTGCGGCTGACCCCTGCGACCCCATCAGCATCGTCGCTCGGTCCTTCCCACGCACGCCTTCGTCATTTTGCTAGCCCTCTCCCTTATTTACCACCTGTCTTGCGGTATTCGCAGCTGCATATGGTTGGGTTCTTCGCCACGCTAATTTTCGATAGGAGCGAAAGGGAGGTAGCAGATTGGCCCCCCCACGCGCGTAAGCCTGCCATCCGTATCAAAACACCTGAAAGCCGCACGTTGAAGCAAAATCTCGCACAATTGCGGGGCGCCCCGCGGTGGTTGCGCAGGATACTATTTTACAGGGATGGTGGGGGTGCCCTGACACGCGCGACGCACCTCGCGGGCGTCCCGCACCTCGCTGGCGTTTCCATTGGTTCCCGATGGTTGTCGATGGCGGGCGGCCCCTGCCCATACTGAGACGGGTGCTACTTGTGTGTGTTGGAGGGCGGGTGGCAGTGAGCGAGACAGTCTGCGGCTTGTGAGTAGCTTGTCCGCGCCCCCATACACCCTTCCCTGGGTCTGGAGGCGGAGTGGCTGTTCGTCGAGGGTCCAAGATGGCTCAAGATGGCTCTAAGAGAGCCTCAGACAAGCCAATGTTGCTCCCAATCTCTTTAAACACAGCCACAGATGGTTCACCCGAACGTCCAACATGCCTCCAAAAAGTATGACGGACGCCCCAATACGGTTCCAAGACGGCTCCAAGTGGCCACGAGCCTCAACAGCCAAGACAAATCATAGCGGGGAACTGCTGTCATGATGAAAGATGGCAGCTTCCCAACTCCAAGTGGCCACAGAGCCTCCCACGGACCCCCCCGAAGAAGCCAACCTTCTTCCCAAACGTAAGGGACATCATTGCGTGTGTGTCGTGCCTTCTCGCCCTTTCGCTTCCGATGAGCTTCTGAGGCCGCAAGATGGCTTTAGGATGGCCAAAGAGAGAGCCCCAACAGGGACCCGATATGGCCTAAAGACGGTCCCCAAAGCACCCTACAACTGCCCAAGTGCGCTTCAAAAGAGCAACAGAAGGTGTTGTTGAGGCCTCCGACGGGGCGCCTGTAATCCATTACCCTCCCGCCCGCATTCAATGATCGAATCTGGCCCTAAGGAGGGCCGTCATGAGGTGCCCAAGTGCCACCAAAATGGCCCCAAGAGGGCTCCAACATAGCCCAAGACAGCTGCTAATAGGCCGCCATGTCGAACATCCACGAGGGCATTCATGGCCGACTGCTGGGCCTGATCAGGCTGATCCCGATCTTTGGTTTGACGGCGGCCCCCCTGTGTCCTGCGTGGTCCCACACTTCCCTGATCAATGCAACTCGCATGGGCATCGTTGCTGGATGGGCTGGTGGGGATACGCGAACCGCCAGCAATGTTTGCGTGTCTCGTCCTGCTTAGCCTCTCCAGAGCATGCGGCGAGACTCGTCTGCTGCTACGTCGCTCACAGAACAGGCACTGCGGATGCCTTGGTGCCACGCGGGATTGCCAATCCGAGCTGTCGGGGGTCGCGCTGGACCACCCTCCGCTGGCGCGCGAGGCGCGCCAGGGGCATCGGAGGCGCCGCCGGGGAGGGTGCAGATCGTCGACCCAAGATCTCCGCGCGGACCTCTGGGAGTGCGTGCCCCTGCCGCCGTCTTGTTCTCCCGAGAGCTCCAGCCCTCCGACCAGTGCTGCTCCTCCAAGCGGTGCACCTCCCTCACGGCGGACATGGCTCCGCAGAAGGCATCTGCACACCACCACCACCACACACCGTGCCTGGTCAGGATCACCCTGGAGCCCAGGATGGCATACATGATCCAGGGCTCTGGCCCCCCCGCTGGATGGGAACGCCCGTGAGCCTCGCTTCGCGGATGTCATCGGTATCCCCCCGGTGGTCGTGGCCCTGTGGTCGTGGCGTGGTGGTCGGAGCACGTCGTCGTCGTCGTCGTCGTCGGCGTCGGCGTCGGCGTCGGCGCCGTCGTCGGCGTCGGCGTCGTCGGCGTCGGCGTCGGCGGCGCTGGCGTCGGCGTCGTCGGGGTTGTCGCCGTCATGGTCGTCATCTTTGTCGTTGTCGTCGTCGTCGTCGTCGTCGTCGTCGTCGTCGTCGTCGCCGTCTTCGTCGTCGTCGTCGTGGTCGATGTGGTCGTAGCCTTCCGTCTTCCATCTGCGTCGGCGTCGGCGTCAGTGTCGGCATCGCAGGCGTCGGCGTCGGCATCGGCGCCAGCGTCGGTCCCCCAGATGGGATGGGGACGACGACGACGACGACGACGATGACGACGACGACGACGACGATGCCGCCGCCGCCGACGTCGACGACGACGGCGGCGAGGAGGAGGATGACGACAAGGAGGAGGAGGAGGAGGAGGAGGAGGAGGAGGAGTGGACGTACCCTAGGAGGAGGAGGAGGAGGAGGAGGAGGAGGAGGAGGAGGAGGAGGAGGAGGAGGAGGAGGAGGGGAAGGAGGAGGACGACCACGACGTCGAAAACGACCACGACTACGACGACGACGACGACGAGGACGGTGACGACGCTACCGCAACAACGAGAAAGACGACGAACTCTTGACCACTGTCTGCCTCACAGCATCACGCCACACTTACATGGAGGGGCACCGCAGCATCACGCCGCACACACAGGGAGGGGACCCGTCGTGGTGGGAAAACCCATTGATCGTGGATCATGTGTGGCCCTGGTGGTATCGGCCGGGGCCGGGAGCATGCGTACACCGTTGCCAGGGCCGCCCTGGACCCTGGCCAGGCACGGTGGGTGGTCTGCGGAGGCCCCCGGAGTTCTCTGAAGGCACTCCGGAGGCCTCGATCCTCGTCGCCTGGTTCTCGGGTCGTAGCTCGGGTCTCCGGGCACTCCCTGAACGCTTCCGGCGAGGCGCAGCCGCTGGAAAACACCCCGAGGCGGGAGAACCGCCGCGAACCGTGGCGGTGGTGCGCGGGCGCCCTCCTGCGGACATGGCGTGGTCAGGCAGCACGGCCTAGCGATGAGCAAGGACAGGGGCGGGGACCGGCTCGGGGGGGGGACGCCAAGCTTGAACCGGGCATCGCCGAGAGATCGGTAGCAGGCCCCCGATGTCGGAAGCCCATGCTCCTGGGCGGAGCGGCGTATCGGGCACCCATCGGCGCTGAATGGGCGATTGGGGATCGATGTGTCACCCCCTGAGCCTGTCCCAGACCCCAAACGTCGTGATTCCTTCAGGACGTGGACCCCCAGAGATCTGGACCGGACCCCTTCCAGGGGACCGGCATCATACCGCGCGCGAATAATGTGTTGACGGCCCCGGGGCCTGGCAAGAGCCCCTGGAGGCCGAGAACAGCAAGAGACCGTCCGCCGCTATTGTTCCACGACGCGAGAAGGAATCAGAGCAACCAGGGAACCACAAACAAATCGGCCACCAGACCCATCCTGGGGTGCGCCCTGGACAATATTCCGAAGGAACTTCGGCCGTGGCGACGAGGAGCCTTCCAGAATCACAACACCGCGCCCCAAAAGCTCGATCCGGGATCGAGGTTTGGATCGGTGCATCCCCAGACATCCGACGCCTCGACTTTTTCAATGCGAGGTCCCCAAGAAGTCCCGACCCCTTCCCCCAGGGTCGGTTCTTCATCCAGAGTCGTATTTCGGCGGTCCTGTGGGCACTAGCGAGTGCCCCTGGAGGCAATACACTATCAAAAGCCTTCAGTCCTTTTTCTCTCACGGCGCGAGCATGTCTGGGTCCCCCTCGCGATCCCATCCCCCCTTACTTGGCCTTGGGGCCGTCATGACACCACTCGTGCGGGAAGCCGGTCCTGGGGAAGGGGTCCAGAGCTGTGGGGGGAAAATCGCAACTTCGGGGTCTGGGCTAGACTCAGGGGGTGACGCATCGACCCCCATTTATCGCCGATCGGCTTCCAATGGGCCGCTCCGCCCAGGAACGTTGGGTGTCGCTGTCGGGGGCCTGCCGCCGATCTATCGGCGATGTATCGCCGATCCAATCGGAAAACAAAGCATGAACACAAACTTTGGGAGGTCCGCGCGGATTTGTTGGATCGGCGCTGGACCCCCTTCCCTGACGCGCGGAACGCGCCAAGGGCGGCGCCGGATGCGCCGCCAGGGAGCTCCAGCGCCGATCCGAGAAATCCGCGCGGACCTCCGAAGGTTTTTGCTCCTGCCACCTGTCCGTTCCCAAACTTCAGGCTCGATGTCCCCCCCGCCCCGAGCCGGTCCCCCCCTGCCGTCAGAGGCCTCCCAAATGGGGGCCGAGCAGATGGGGTTGGAGGATCACGCCGCATCGCCGATACATCGGCGATGCATCTTCGTCGGCGATGCATCGGCGACGTCGACGTGGAGAGAATCGGGATCCACATCGAGCTGCACCAGCGATGCATCGGCGAGGCGGCGCCACCCTACGACCCCATCTGCTCGGACCCCATCTGGGAAGCCTGGAGCCGTTTCGGGGGCGACGGTAGGGGCGAATAGCCCTAGGTCGGGCGTTATACGCATCCTTCCGGGAGCATCACCGAAGACATGAACCATCGGCGCTCCTGGAAACCATGATCCCAAACAACGTTGCAATGTAATTGTGAAAACATATTTTATTTCCGCCAGTTTCCGCCGGCATCCGCCGGCGGAGGCGGCCCCGTTTTACTTCCGCGACCTTCCGCCGCCCTTCCGCCGCCTTGCGCCGAGGAAGAGATGACCTTTCCTCCGACCCTGGAAGGCTAGGCCCTTTCTAGAACGCCTCATGCATTACCCCCCCTTGCAGAGAGCAGAAAACCCACTCTCACAATAAGCACCCGACAAGCGAAGGCACTCAGTAAACGCACCGACGGAAGGAATCGAACCGGGCAGGGCTGTTCAGTAAACTCCCCGGACCGTTTAGCAAACGCAAATGATGGGGGTCGGGGTGGTTCTTCCTCCCCTGACCCTGGGCTACGGCAGGCTCGTATCGTGTCGACCCAGGCGCTGGTTCCTGACACCGCGGGGATCGTTCAACCTTGAACGGTCGGCCATACGTCCGATCGTCCAACATCGCTCGATTCCGGGCCCTGGCGGCGTTCAACATTGAACGCTGGCGGAGGGGTCGCCGCAGGTCGACACGACGTGGAACTACAGTATTCGCCCTTCTGCGCATGGAAGGGCAGAGGAAGGCAACGTACTCCCACCCCCTTCTTGGAATCTGACCCTTCTGTTTCAGTCGGGGGCGGCCAAGAAGGGGGCATCCGAGAGGGGGGGTGCAAGTCATGGCTGGCGGCACGTGCGCGGCGCAAGGGGGGGGCCAGGGACGAAACGAAATAAGAAGAGGCGCCATGAAACCAGTGGAAATATCATGGCCAACGCCATGCCATCCTCCCCCCGGTCATCACCCCCCTCTTTACCGCCCCTGGGGCCTCGACGCCCGGGCCCAGCGGCTGGCGCACCGCGGGCGCGGGCGGCGCGGCGGTCGTCGCCGGGCGCTCCGCGGCACCCTCCGCCGCGGCCATCCTGGCGGCGGTGCGCGAAGGGCACACGCCCGTGGCTGCGGGCGAAGTCGGCGCGCCGCCTTCGGGGGCGGCGAGGAGGAGGGCGAGCAGGAGGAGGGCGAGGGGGAGGGCGAGGAGGAGGAGGAGGAGGAGAAGGAGGAGGGCGAGGAAGAGGGTGAGGAGGAGGAGGAGGACGAGGAGGAGGACGAGGAGGAGGAAGAGGAGGGCGCCTCCCTCCGATTCCCTCGCTGCTGATTTTTGTGGGGCATGCCCTGGGAGCGAGCGCTCGCAGCGTCAGTGTGGGCCTGCGCGCCGCGGGCCCACGACGCCCCTCCACAGCACCGGCAAGCGAGGGGAGTGGCATCGATGATCAAGGAACAGAAACCGACGGCACCTCCAGCCCACCTGTCGAACCAGCACCCATCAGCCTCAATGGCGTCATCATCTGTCTTGGAAAAATCGTGAACAGCACATCGCTGTCGAAGGCCGCGTCGAGTAGGCGTCGGCGACGGCATGCTTTCCGATGACAGTCGTGCCACGCCGCGGTTTTCCATCGGGAACCTCGCGCCCGCCTCCTGTATTTTGTCCAGGATCAGGGCGAGAGTCTTGACGAATAACACATTAAAGATGGCGTCCGCCAAGGAGCTGCCAGGTCGGCGGCCGCGCCCCAAGCGGGCAATGCAGGAAGCAGCGGATGTCGCGCAATAGCGGGCGCGCCTGCGCCCCTCGATAAACGGGGCTAGTGGGCAAGGTGAGAGAACGCACTCGACCGGCGCAGCTGCTCAGCTTGAGATATAGCTAAACGAAGGGGCCATCACAAAATATCGTGCTGGTGCACAACAAACTGGCGGTCCCCAGCGTCACCTGAACATGGTAGAACCAGGCGCCTGGCCCTGCGAGGCGTCTCCTGAGCCGCGAACCCCGACCTTGGAACGCAGGCGGGGACGATTCGTGAGATCGGTAGGGGCATGGAAGGAGGGGGGAACAGGGCGGCCACGTTGGTTCCCTGGGTGTCCGTCTCAAGACTTGGCGGGGCCCCCCGAGGACGTCGGGGGCGGATGGGGAAGACGAGGGGCGAAAGAGCAGGCGGGCGAGAGGATGGGGGCAGGGGGCGGCTGGAGTGAAGAGGGGGGCAAAGAGGTATCAGGAGGGAAACGGGCGGGGAGTTTCGACGAGGGGTTGAGGTGTCTCCTTGGAAGGGTTCATGCATTTAGCTTGCGCGTCGGGGGCGCCCCCGGTTACCTCGGAGCGGTCTCGGGCAGTCGTCGGGCCCGATGGGG